AGAGCAACGAACGAGTATCTAGCTGATCAAACTACTCGGGACGCGTACATATAGTAACACATAATATGTACATTCACATACATGAGTCCCATGACCTATCTCGAATAATTTTTGCAGTTACATAATCAATTTTTAAAATTATTTCTATAGAAAATATGTAATCGTATAATAGATATAGAAAGATATAGATATATCAGCCTCGTGGCGTTTCAGTATATATATTGAAGAATCGCTATCAACAGGTACTCAGGAAATTTTAACGTTAAACCTACTCCTATCGTAAACATTGCTAATACACGTACATAATTAGTTTTATGAAAAAGTGCCAAAAACAATTTCTTTCTCCATTTTTTTTTTGTACACAAATGCATAAGAGTATTGGAGTCTTAAAAATAATGAATTGATGATGGGAGGTAAAGATGATTGCTTATTAATTAATATTACTTTCTTTGATATTTCCAGAGACTCTTTTCGTGCCAAAATGGGTTATTCACTTTGGAAAATCTGAGACTCACGATTCAATTGAAATACTCTAAGCATAGGAGAGCAGATATCTAAGTGTCACATGCACATAGATCAAAGAAATCATACTCTTAATAACTACTGAGTAAAATAAATGGAATAAAATATGCTAATTTGCGAATACATATCGAAACACACAAAGGATATACGCAATACTATTGGGGTGAGATGGTTATTCAAGCCCTACGGAGGAATGCACTCCGATTTTCTGCTCTTAATTACATACATACATACATACATACATAAATTCGGTCGGAATTTATTTACGCAGCTTTTGATTCTCGCGAGTCGTTGACGGGGGTTAACTTCTTTGAAGGCATTTTAATTAAAAAAAACGAAATGGAATGCCACTGTGCACGTGTTTGAAAGTGGAAATGAAAATACAAACCACTTGTCATAACTCGGATCACAGCTGTAAGTACGATAAAAATATAAATTTTTTTATTAATTTAATAAAATCAATATTTGAGAATATTGAGCTACTGCTTTTATAAAAAGAATAATTTCAAGTTTAAATATAAGCATTGAATTATAAGGTCGCATCGATTTTTGATGTATTTTTATCCTGCTTCAACATCTGTCAGAAATATCATTATTTTCTTGTCCAGCTTCACAGTAATACAAATTTTGTACTCAAATTTGTATAAATATATGGATATTTTCTCTTAGGTGATCGGTCATCTTGACGGCCACTACTACAAAACACGCACCCCTAATTGAAAGATTAGCGCCTATTATATATTATTAGTAAGGTCGATTATGTGTCACACAACATGGAAGACTCTACTTGGTCGTACCTTGCCAAATAGTGATTAGCAGACTGAATAACTGTTTTAATGGAAAGCGTGTAGAAAAACATATTTCTACTTTTCGTTAAAAACTTTGTGCTTTATGTGATATTGCGATATTGTCCGTCAATTATCATATACTCTCATTTAGTTACTTTTAGTGGCGAGTCCAGAGAGTCCCCGGTTCACATATCTAGTAACTTGCTATTCGCCTAAGAAAACCGGTACTCTTCTTAAGTTGATTAGTGAAGTCCACCAAGGGAGCATTTGAATTTGGGCAGATTTAACGGTCTCTGGTTGATGTTATTGAAAGCTTAGTCTATGTTAAAAGAGACATAGACAAGGCCGCGAACCTTTCCGACTTTTACGATAAAACTTTGTTCTTGCGAACCATACAGATATTTCATTCGCTTGTGCGGAAGGTTATTAATTATATATAGATCCAGAAAATGGTTTAAAAACTTGATTTGCTTAGTAATCATTAATTTTTTTAATTATCGTCACGCTAGGCTATCAGAAACGTCATTAAAGAATATTATTCCTTTTGAAAACGATTTAGAAGCCACCTTCCACCTGTCTCTTGAAAAATCTGTTTTGTCATATCAGACATGGCAAAGACGGTAGGTTGGTGACGATCATGTTTTGGTCAGTGCGCCTTGTTAAATTTAACGAAAGGTTCTCCAGATGGCAGCACAGCCACAACGCCATATCTATTACGATCACACTTATTATATTATTATATAAAAGGTTTCCCAAAGCCAGAATATTTAAATAAATTTTCCCAATACTTTTTCGCTTATTCGTTCCTTGAAACTGCCTTCAGTATCAGTGGGATGCTTCTCGGCTCAAAGTATTACCCACTATTTAATCAAAATTACGTTTTGATGGTTATACTGTCTAACGTGTCTTTTCTGAACCGGCTAAAGCTCTTGGAAAAACAGACTTTCGGTTTTGATATCTTTGAAATTTGAGAATCAGAACAGAATTGAGAATAAATATTTAGATTTAAAATGAGATTTAAAGTCTCAGGCTAAAAATTAACCTCAGATGAAAGTTGAGTCTAAAACTAAATAAGACTATTTTGGTTGCCGAAGATGTGTACCTTTTCCAGCTTCTTATAATTATTAGGAGTTACTTAAGTTACTTAATACATGTTATAAAATGATGCAAAAAACCCGTTAAAAACAATATAGATACTGAGCCGATTGGTTACCGGAAGAGCTATTCCTGGCGGCGAAGAGCTGAAAAGGTGCAGATTTCTGCAAGTTCTGTGCAGAATATGGTCTCCAAATATCATATAAAAGTTCCTGACTAGCGGTTTGTGTGGAAGGACAACACCCAAGGTAAATTTACTAATGGAGCCTGAACTGTGTGTTTCATGACATGCTAAATACACCTTTGACTATATATTCACCACACACCAAATCCTTAAAAAAGTCAAGTGGGAAAACGATCGACACATTGATTTTAAATGTACCTTCAACAGTCTGGAAAGGAGTTGTTTCTAGGCCGTCGTGTTTGGTATCCCCACGGCTATATCAGTATTGCGAAGGGTATCTCTGACCCGTTTGTTACCATGAGGCTTAAGACAAGGTGAATCTCTATCATGCGGCTTCTTCTTCTGTCTTCTGGCATCAAACAAATATACAGCGCATGCTGGCATTCAGGTTATTTGCGACAATCATAACCTTGAAGTTCTGAACAATTCCTCACATCTAGGAACTAGCATTATTACCAAGAATAACAAAAAAACTAAGGAGGCAATTGAAAAGTAAAGTTCTCTCAACAGAAATGAAGACCAAACTCTACAAGTCCATTTTATGATGTAAAAGCGTGAACGATGACAGCATCCAATAAGTAGGGAGTCTGTTGAAAACGTATGATCTGCGTATAAACAAAGGCTAATACTACAGATGTTGAAAGAATATACATACATATGTGTGAGGCCATTGACAAAAATTTTACAGCTTGATGCAGTACCCACTGGAGGAAACAGAGGAAAAGAAAGATTTCACACTCTTAGAAGATAAAGTGGAGAAGGACCTGGCTGCACTTGGTGCCTCCAATAAGAAATTTCAGATAAAACTGTTAAAACCCACATTTACAGAAGACAACAACAACCAGGGTGTAATGGGACAGACTCCGTTACGAATCCTTGCATTCACTCCGGTGGATGAGCATCTCGTCACAACCCGCATCAAAGCGAAATTTTTCAACATATCGCTGATTTGCGTCCACTCCCGACATCAGAGAAGGATGATGTGACCAAGGATGCCATTTATGAGCGTCTCTAGCGTACTTATGAGTGCTGCTCCTACCCTGATTTCAAAATTGTGCTTGACGTCTTTAACGCTAGGGTGGGCAAAGACGGCATCTCCAACAAACTGTCAGAAAATTCACCTTCCACAACAAAAAATTCCCGAATGGATTGGAGCTGATGGATTTCGCCGGTGCCAGTAATATTAATTGGCGTTAGTGTGCTATTAAATTTTACTCCCAAGGTTGCCACACCAATATATAGTATAGCATAGGGGCAGAATATTTTGTTAAAAATATTATCTTCTAGTTATTTGATTGCGTAAAGGTTATTCTGGATCTGCATTTGCCGATTTTTAAGCACCATGAACTGCCTATTACTTTCTAAGTATTTTGAAGGCTGTTAAGTCTATTAAGATTTCGTTTACCGAGCTCTACATATTTGTGTTAGACATTTGAATATTGTCATACCTTATACTTAACATCACATACAAGGAAATAATAATTTTAAAACAACGGCTATCAGTGCGCTCTAATCCATCGAAGAATAAAATGCACGCGCAGAACGACGAGTTACGACACCCTCACAACATCCACCTTTTCCTTGTGGAAATGCATTCATGATGTGGTGATGTATCAAACTTAGCTTTGTCGTTTCAAAGTCTTGTGAGAACGCTGCACGAAAGGGCGTACGTAAAGTGAAACACAAAAATCCGCATTATATTGAGTCAGTAAAATAATGATACAAAAATTACAAATAAAGACGATTAGCGATAACATAAATTAATCAAAGAGTGAGGCAATTTTTTTATGGCATAAATAATAATAATAAAAATTATAGCAGCTGTATTTATTTTAACAATATTAACAATAGTAATAATAATAAAAAGCTATACGAATAGAGAAATACTAATAATAATAAGCATATGAATATTTAGAAAAACAAATGCAATGTAAAAAACATAAATAAGTGTTTTGCGGTACAATAAATGTATACATTTCAAAAAATGAAGACAGTGTGAGTACAAAAAATAATGTACAAACCTCATTTCAAGTCTGAAAGAATTTATGATCACTTGAATATGTTAAATAATACCAATTTCTTCAGGCCACTGGATACGATGCCCCGGTTATTACAATCAAGATCAGTCTTGGCGTTATACACCAAAAAAAGTGATGTAAGAGAATTGAAAATCGGTACTCTAAATTATTTCTTGTGCAATGTTTTGTTTGTACTTTATCCAAAGTAAGTTTTATGAACAATTGTACCAAAGCCATTCGAGACAACGGTCACATACAAATTTATCGCGAGTGCAATCATCATACTTCAAATCGAATTCTAAAGCAAAGAGCGACGCATCGAAGAAGCAATACGCGTTCATAAAAGTATTTTCGAAATATTCACAAAACATTTTTTACGTTGGATTGCATTTTATTATATTCATAATACTATCTTATCGCATTAACTGGTGAGTATTTATTTGAAGAGTAATACTTCTGTTAGAAGTTTGTGGGATCAAACAGTAATATTGAAGATATTCTGCTACATTAAGGTTTTTAGAATAAAAATATTTAATATTCTACTGAAAATGTGTGATGCGAATATGATGTTTTAGACGTGTGGTTTTCAGTGAGATAATACTTTTTTCGGACTTAGTCTTTTTACAGCTGTTACCTTTTTTGTACTCAGTTTAGTTTGCCATTTCATAAGGAACACCGTTTGCAAATCGTGCAAATTCATTACTAAAATAATGGTTCAATTCGTGCAACGCATCGCAAGAAAATTCTGTTCAGCGAGGATGCTTACTTTTAATTAAATGGATACTTTAATAAGCGAAATTGTCGCAATACTAACCGCTGCTCTATTGCAGCTGCCGACGGATAGAAACATAAAAAAATTACAGTAAACTAAGTCAACAAAACCAAGATTACAAAATTCATCATTAAGTTTGATGAAATTGCCGATATATCGACATCCGTAGAATATTTTACTTCTTTTACCCAATTATTTTTTCCATTTTCTACAACAGCTGAAAATGTACAGTTGACGTGAAATATTTTTTCCAATATACTATCGATATTTCTGCGTGCATTTGCCATCAGCGGGTTTACTGGACCGTTTAGACTTTGAAACATTTTTATACGTGGTTAACAAAATAATGTTTATTCATGCAGCGGGAGACAGCTTTGTGCCTCGCTATTTACCACTCGAATTTTTATTATTGTTAAACTTACAATTTTTACAATAATCGATAGGTAACCGCCTTTAGATTCCCAAGTGTATATCTAAACAATAGACACCAGTTTCAGTATTAAAGCATGCTATTATGGATCAGTGCATTCGTATCCTACCAAGCTAATAGTGACGGAAGTGGAGCACACATTATTGTCTGCCAAGCTTTTAACGGCTATTTCTGCAAAGGGTCGCCTTAGTAGACTAGCATGGTAAAATGCAGCGCCTTGACCAGGTAACAAGCTTTTAATTTCATATCAGAGCTACACTCAGAGGCGTAGACATTCCCTGTAGAGGTGGATTTAGAAAAATTAATTTTTGATATTTTAAAGCAATTTGTTTAGGCGTCTTGATGTTTTCCAACAGTTTATTCTAAGCTAAGCTTTTATTCCATGACAGAAACACACTCGGAAAGCTTAGCTTAATTTTTTATTTAAATTAAATTTCTATAAGTTTTGGGATGTTAGTACGGCACCAGGGCTTAAACCCGAGCCTTCCGAATGGCAATACGCAATGCTAACTAGTCGGCTAGGCCGACGGTATTACCACTAAAACGAATAATATCAAAATCAACATAGTCGGTCGCTGTCATAATTCTGTTGATATTCACTACTAGAGTTAATGTAGTCAATATATGTTCAAATACAAAAACCATTTAAAACTGAGCAAAAAAAGAGAAATTCGTGCTTACACTACAATTATTACATTGCAAACACATAGTTATACTATTCTTATTTATCAATTGGATGCTTTCTTCACGGTCGTTTAATCCTTATTATCGATAACATCAAAGTTACTTCGATTTATTTTTTGATTACGTTCAAAGTTCGTACACCTAGAATGCACAATGCAATTTTTTGCCTCGGACCAGATTGCACAAGCCTATGAATAAAGCTGCGTATGTTAAAAGAAAGATAAGTTTCACTACATGCTTCAACCGGTATCCGACTATACCCAAAAGAAGACGTTGCTGCTGCGTGAAAAATATCGCGCACTACTACATACTTTAACATGTCGTCATCAAAAATGCAAAAGTGTAGATATAATATATATGACGAGACCGATACCATTTCGCTGGAAACATCAGATGTCTACTTCCTGAGTGTGAAGCAGAAAGGTAAACAACTAAGGATGGGAATTTGTAACCCTTACTCGTTTAAATTCGAACTGTTGTTTTTCGCCCAAATTAGGTTTCTAAAATAGAGGTAAAGCTGGGTTCTGAATCACTTTTGATCGTCTATGCGAATTTAAACTAAAAAAGCAGTATTTATAACTCAAAGCCAAAAGCGTCGTCCTCAAACTCGGCGTTAAATGAATTACCCAGAGAAGTCCGAGAGTGAGTGGAACTACATATACGACGGTTGTCAACGATGTGTAGAGTTTATTCTGCAGAAACGTAACAGATATATTCTGAGTACCTTCAATGTTGATAGCTTCTCTACTAAAGGACTGTTGAAAATGAATTAATCAAATCTATATCAGCGCAATATATATGAAAATACTCTTCTTTTTTCTCAGAAGACTGACTTATGTCAGCGCTTTAATTCTTTTTTCTCAGAAGAGTATTTTCATAATTTTTGACACCAGGACTCTTAACTGAATTGAAATCATAATGTTCAGTTTGCAGGAAAGTCAACTCCTCCGAGTATATTCATCGGCTGGAAAAACATACACCACAAATTGGAGGAGGAGTTCTGCCAAAAAACGATTCAAATTTTATATAGTTTTGAGCATTTATGTACATATATAACCAAGTATATATTTGTACATACATATCTATATATGTATATTATATATATATATATATATATATGATTATAGCTGAACGACCACCAAGACACCAAGTGAAGTCAGGCATTCTTCCATTTGTTCCTTCCAAAGGAATGAAAGTATTTCTTCTTCTCTGCACCGTAGAATAGGACGTTGAATTGAAGCTATATTTGTGTATCTCATAGGCCACTGCTCGTAATTTTAATGGATCTCTGTAAGCTCGCCATAAATGTGGACTCAATAGGGCAATTATAATACCTACGCTATTTGAACGGAATTTTAATCGAGACTCCTTGATAATTTAAACAATGAATAAGTAGAGCTTTCATCTTTATTATTAGCGTACGCATATGCATTTTGACGTTTGGCGTTAATTGCATATACCAAGTAAGGTAGTAAGGTACGGTTCCTATGCTTCGAAAGCCGATGCTTCCAACTTTCAAAGCTGGATTTTTATGGTTTAAACAGAGGATACGTAGGTTCCAATTTTCGGGCGTGCTTTCATCGTATCATATTCTGCAAACAAGTCGAAGCATGCACTTTGGCAGTTCCATGCCACCGTATTTAAGTAGCGCGGCCGGCAGTCCATTAGCACTCGCTGCTTCAGTATTGTGTAGTCTATTCGAACACTTTCATAGTCGGAACAAGGCAGGCGTAACAAGGCAGGTAGCATTAACGGATGATATTGGACCAAACTTCTCTTATGTGGCTTTGCGCGCCTTTTACCAAATGCAAATACTACTCGCTCGGTTTAACTCGTGACATGCACAGAGCAAAATATTTTGATGGTGGTGCTGAATATCACAGTTTTTCAGTACAACCGGAAAAGACGGGTATTGAATGAACAATTCCACCCGAACATAGCTCTTCATTACTTGTTATGAACTGATTTCTTTAAAAATATTTGGGCAAAATTTAATGAAAGACGCACATTCCTCAAAATTTTTTGCTTCCAACTACTTCCGTTGTTTAACTCTCTCTTGCCACATTTCTCAGTGGTTTCTCACGGTTTGTAATAGCTGCTGATACCCATGTGTGTGTATATAGACACATGCATGAGCATGTCCACACAAAGCAAAAATGCATGCAGGTTCAGAGCGTAGAAAATAACGAAAACGCATGTTGATTGGAATAAAAAAAATATGCAGCAAGGTATTTTTGCGATAGCGATAAAGAATTTAAGTTAATACTCGTTTTGTTAACAGCTTCATAAGACAGCTTTTTAGTACAAAATCTTAACTCTGCGCTCAATGTCTATAAAACTGATAAAAGACATTGTGATGCAATAAAAATGTCTTAACGTTCATTTATTTGCAACCATTTCAATATCCACACAAAACAATACTTTTAAAAATATCGTACAGTGTCAGTGCGATCAGCTGTCTTAGTCACAAAACTGAAGCTTTCAAACGCAACACTTGCGAACCGAGCACAACCAAAAACTGCAAAAGAGTCATTTAAATATTATATACATATGTATATATATATAAATTTATATTCAACTTTTTTTTTTTAAATTTACAACGCAACAAACTAAACGTAAATTAACAATTTTTAGCGAGTTACGAAGGAAGGAGAATATTTTTTCCAAACATTCTAACTTTCAGTCCAAATTTATTTAGCATTTCTTTGTTGTAGTGGTCCATATCTGTAAACTTTCTGCTTAAAGGGTAAAATGTCGGTATTTACCAGACTACGGCTTGAAATGATATTAGTTGTTTGCTCAAGCTTATTCACATTAAGTATAGATATCTAACAAATAAATTGTATATATATTTTTCTTCTTGTACTTTAAGAAAGAATGGACCACTGTATTCCCCATGCATTCTTCACATTCAGATTGTCAATGTGATTGTGAGTGCCTTTCTAGCTCACCGGTCACTGTTGCAATTAACCGCACATACAAATTTATATCTGTGTACATACCTTAATGGCTACACGGTAGAATCCGAATATAACGACTCTCAGGGTGCCAGTGAAAATTCATTGTCTGCACGATTTCATAAGAATCGAGAAACTTGGACTCCTAATTTTGGTTTTCTCGGAGGGAATATGAGTAAAGTTTTTTATCCATTCGATGTATTGGCCTTTTTACTAGATATCCAGTAGGAAACATCCGAAGTACGGTAATGCGCGACCATTTTAAAGGGGTCAGAAAATTTTAATTTTAATTTGAAATCACTCCGATTTTATAACGTTATTTAATCAATATATTTTAAATATAAGGTATTTCGAATTAAAAAATAAATAAACAAAAGTAAAACAAAGGCACCTTGCTTGTGAACCATTCAAAACGCAATGAACGAAAAAACAAGCGATCTTGCACAGTAATTTGTCTGAAATCAAGCATGTATGTTTGTATGTATGTATCATATGATTTTCACTAAAAGCGCTCGTTTAATCGGATTCTACTGTATTAAATCTTTGGTTTATACTTGTATAGTTATGCCAGCCTTTAACTTCTTTGCGCATATTTACAAATATATGTACATGCATGAATACATATTACAGAGCACATATACATACATATGTGAATACTCGCATCCGTACCTTCGTATATCCTTATATACATTCATATTGATGTATATATATATGTATATACAGCCTATTGCAGATACGTTTTAAGATCAACGAATGTCAAAGAAGCTAATAACTGATTGCATATAAAATAACCGATAGTATTTCGGTTGCAATGCCTGGAAAGCAGCCAGCCTTTAGCTTATCAATATCAGCTGGATGTGTTTAGATAAGCTCGCACTCTTTACGACCAACCGAAAGTGTAGCAGGGCTTCGTAAGTAAGAAGTTACTACTGATAAGAAAATGAACATATTCAGAGATTTTTAGCTGTGTGAGAGCTCTCACGATTGTAAATTAGACAAAGTTTTTAATCTTATTGCATTCATTAAAAGAAATCGCACTAATGGATTTTAACGATATATGTTAGGACAACCGCATTTGCATACGATATATGGATGGTTTGCGTTAACTTGGTTTAAAGAGCGTACAAATCGAGGCAATTAAACAATAATATTAACTCGCACAGTTGAATAAAAACAAAAATATGTATGCTAATTAATTACGCCGCTGATGCTCACTTTATTATTGAAAAATTGTTTTTAATCATATTCTAAGGATTTTAATTTTGAATGAACATTAGGGTTTCAAGAATTTTTCAAAAACAAACCATTAAACCAGTAAAGCTTCTCCTCTTTCTCTTCTCACCCAAGGCCCGATTAGTTCGGCAATCTTAAAAGATTGCTTAATCTGAGTTCACTAAGTATGAAAGGGGTATTGATACCACTCCTTATCAATTGAAGATTTGGGTTCGCCTTTTTCATTTCTTGCAACTTTCTGAGATACGCAGTCATTTTCACACATACCACGGCATGACATTTCTCATCGTATTAGGTCTTCTTTTGTAACTGTCGAAAATCAGTTGATTATTTCGCAGCTATATGTAGGATGCTTCAAATGCTCTCAAAGAGTTCCCTTGCCCATCCCGGAGTTGAAATCGCCAATCATAATTTTAACATCGTGGCAGGGTAGCACTCATAAGTACTCTCCAAGCATTCGGGGAGGGCCCCCGTGCCAAGAAGCGACTCTGATTAAAAAGGAACTTTTTCACGAAGCGATTGGAACTGCACTGTACTTTACATTGTATTCATTTAAACCAGGAATAAGTAACATAACTTAAAATGAACTCGTTCCGATATAATTTATTATGATGTAAACTATCACCCAGACGGGTGACCTAGTGACTGATGCCCAGAGTATACTGAATTTATGGAGAAACACTCAACCAACCTGCTGAACGGCAGTGAAAATTAAATACCCGGAGATGGTGAACCCGAAATCCCAATCGATGGCGATGGAACAGACGTTCCGCTACCTGACCATGTCGAAGTTCGAATAGCGATTTCCCGCCTAAAAACCACGAAGTGGTTGGAGCTGACAAGAGGCATGCATCAGCTTAACTGCAAAATGTGGTCCGATGAAAGCATGTCCGACGATTGGAACCTAAGTGTACTCTGCCCAATCCACAAAAAGGGCGATCACCCAGCGCCAACTACCGTCGGATAAGCCTCCATCACCTGGTAAGTCAACAATTGACCAGATATTCACCTCGACAGCCTTCGACAGCACGAAAATGAGTTGCCGCTATGTCTGAATTTGGTATTCCCGCAAAACTTATACGGCTGTGTAAACAGACGTTAGACAGCACCAGAAGCGCAAACAGAATTAAGAAGGACCTCTCCGTGGCGATCGGTACCAAACGATTTTTCAGACAAGGTGGCTCTTTGTCGTGTAATTTCTTCAATTCTAGATAAGTGATGATATTGACATTATCTGCCTTAACAATCGCGCCTTTAGTTCTACTTTTACCAGACTTGATAAAGAAGCGAAGCGAATGGGTCTGATGGTGAATGAGGAGAAGACGAAGTATCTCCTGTCATCAAACAAACAGTCATCACATTCGCGTCTTGGCTTCCACATCACTGTTGACAGTCATAACTTTGAAGTCGTAGATAATTTTGTTATTATTGTCCACAGATGATATAACGATGAGCTGTACGAGCTATATGATGATATTGACAGCGGCTACACTGGCTAGGTCATGTCGTCCGAATGGATGAAAGCACTCCAGCTTTGAAAGTTTTCGATGCAGTATGTAAATAAATGTATCAGTAAATTGAATATAAATTAAATTAATACATTCAATAAACTGTACTTGTTTTTTTTTCTGACTAACTTTTTTGTCACCCAATCCGACTCTGTTTCCATACTTTCTATCCATTATGTACGTCGCTTATATAAATATAAATTAAGATATATAAATTTATATTACGATCTACATTAAGTTTTGTAAATGAATTCTCTTTAAAAAGGAACGCCATAAATCAACTCCATGTAATTCAATTTTGGAATAGGAAACACTGAAAAAAGTGATAGTCATATTTGAAAGAGACTTTGCTTAAACGTGAAAACAAAGTACAGGGTTTTGGTCCAATTAATATTTCTGTAACACTGTGGGTATGATATCGCCTACACATATGTGGCAATTTAAAAGGGTTAACCAGTCTAATCTAATCTAGCCTAACGGACTACAAGTGTTTGCTATCACGGTACTTAAGTGCTTCCACAAAAGGGATTTAATAGCAAAAACTTCTCGTAACCGTTAACTGACACTTCTTGCACGGTTTAATAAACCTCTCCTTCTTTATAAAGCATATATAAGGTTGTCAAATATCTCCCTTCCGCTTTTTTGCTCTTCATTCAATGCTTTATAAAAAGTGTTACAGTGATCGGATTTAGTTAAAATATGCGCCGTTCATAATACCTTTCTCGTAGAAGTCCCCCACTTTTTACAAGCCTCTTTTGAGTTCAACTTCACACCACCAAAGGCATTCGCCATGGACAGGAACAGGTGGTAATCGCTACGTCCGGGCTATATGGTGGATGCGATAAAACCTCCCATCCGAGCTCCCGTAGCTTCTGACGAGTCATCAACGAAGTGTGTGGTCTGGCGTTGTCCTGGTGGAACACTACTCCCTTCCTGTTGGCCAATTCTGGACGCTTCTGGTCGATCGCCTGCTTCAAGCGGTCCAGTTGAGCGGAGCAGTAGATGGTAGAATTAAGCGTTCCGTTCCGATCCCACCAAACACACAGCAAAACCTTCCTGGCCGTCAATCCCGGCTTGGCCACTGTTTGGGACGATTCACCGGCCTTCGACCACGACCGTTTTCGCTTGATATTGTCGTATGTGATCCATTTTTTGTCGCCAGTCACCATCCGCTTCAAGAATGGGTCGAGTTCGTTTCGTTTCAGCAGTATATCGCAGGCGTTGATTCGGTCCAGAAGATTTTTTTGCGTCAAACTATGCGGCACCCAAACATCAAACTTTTTTTTATATCCAGCCTTCTGCAGATGGTTCAAAATGGTTTGGTGACTAACTCCCATCTCCTGGGCGATGTCACGAGATGCCATATGCCGGTCTAACTCGATGTATTCCATGATTTGATCGGTATTTGTCGTCACAGGTCTTCCGCCGGCTGGCTTATCCATGGTGTCGTTTTCACCGGCTCTGAATTGTCGAAACCATTCCTCCGCGGTTCGAAGTGATAGAGTACCATCCCCCAAAACACCATTAATCTCACGAAACGTTTCTCTAGCGGATTTGCCTTTAACGAAGGAAAACTTTAAAATAGCGCGAATTTCGGCGTTAGTGAACTTCTCGTTTACACGTCTATAACTGTTCAACACAATATCCAAAGTAATAATGCATAGCGTAGATACGAGCTCTGTAGCGCTTTGTCCATAGCCGCGAAATTCAAAACACAAAAAGCGGAAGGGATATATTTGACAACCTAATATTAAGAGAGGCAACGTTCAGCTTTTGTGGAGCTATCAAAAGTCATAGAAACCGATCAATGTAGTCGTAGAAACTGGTCACCGAAAATAACAGTGTTACCCCACTTTGCCATAAAATCAACTTATTTCCGAATATAAAGTAATGCTTAAAATGGTTCAGTAGTCAGAGTGCAAATCAGTCCTTACAAATTGGTGCAAAGTGGATCTAATGCTCATCCCCAAAACTTATTGAGCTTAACGAATATTTTTTGCTATATTTGCCTACTACTTATATTTGCCTACTACTTATTAAGATATTAAAATTATTAATCAATTTACACTCTAAATGTCTGTACATACATATGTACATGTATTTAAAAAACACTTTTGTCTATTGTGTTAGGTCTCATTGCCTGCCCGAGGGGCGAGCAACCTGCCGCTCTGTGCCAGGATTAACTAAAGATCAGCTTGAACTTTGCTTCAAAGCCAGTGATGTAGCAACTGCAGCTCTTGAAGGGCTAGACATGGCGATTCGCGAGTGCCAACAGCAAGTAATATACATTAATATTAAGCTTTACAAAAAAAAATAATTCATTTTCAACGCAGTTTTTATGGCATCGTTGGAATTGCTCATCACTAAGCAGGAAATTGCGCAACCCACACATATCGAATCTTCTTAAAAAAGGTAAGCTATGATACGTCTCAAATACAATATATAGATAGTTTTGGATGATCCGCACAATCGATTCGGTTTAAACATTTTGAAATGTAACGAAATCATTTCGAAAAGTTTATTTTTTATATTAACCAAAGAAATGGCATCAATTCAGTAGTTGAAAATTTAGTTATTTTCCAAGAATTTTCATTTAGCATTGCAAAGTACAAAAAGTTTCCTCGCTCAAAAACTGCAGTGACTCAACAATATCGGAGTATACTTAAAAGATGAATCAGGGCAATGATTTAAGTCTACTGGGTAAAGCTCGTTCTTTCATTTAATTTATTTATTCAACTTTACACGTCCAGTGAACGACCAGATTTTAAACATTGGTCCTACACACACTTGTATTCGTACACTAGACGTAAAATGAAAGGCTTATACAGCTGTGCGGCATTTCAAAATATAACATAATACCTATGAAACACCGACACCGTGGATATGATGAATTATTTCTATGAAATTGGTTTTCTAACTTCTGAATTTCAATTCAGCTATTCTTATAGCTGTTCTTCTTAACTGAGGAAAGAAGTATAAGAAAGACTCGGAATCATTGCACTAGACGACGTTACTATTTCATTGTATGGTCTTTCCGACAATTCCCTAAAAAGTTATTGGTTTGCCCGATGATTTTCCCTTACCCTGTATAATTCGTTACTTTAGTGAGTTAAAACTTTATTTGTACCCAAAGACTATTTGGTTATAATAATATTACATACATTATAAGTTACATCCTGCATATTACTTGAACGATTTAAGTCTACATTTTATTTGTACCCAAAGACTATTTGGTTATAATAATATTACATACATTATAAGTTACATCCTGCATATTACTTGAACGATTTAAGTCTACATACATAGTACGTAGTATAGTATTATGTAGTATACATATATGTATATACATGCAACAAACACGATAAGAGCAGTGGACTTACGTTGTGGTTTTCCTTGTAACATTAGAACAGTAAATGTTTAGCACACCAGAGTGGACTGCTAATGCGAATGACATAGTGCTTAATAAGTTAAGACTTTTATATTCATGTAACTACTGTTATTCGGCCACACAAACTCCGGCTTGATATATACATACGTATTGAACTTGGACTTGAAGGCACCATCGTAGAGCAAGAAGGACTATTAATTAATTGAAATGCTCGCATAGGTAAACTAGTCAGCCAAGCTGAACTATGCCCACGGGGTATATAAAACTGAATGTAAACATTTGTAGATATGTATCTAAAAGATAAATTGAAGTTAAAAACTATTTGGTTGGTTCACTTTTGCCAATAAATGCCGCATGACGGTTTATAACCGCTTAGGTAATTTTCGGCCGTGCTACTTCTCCGATTTGTGGAGTGCGTTTTGGTCTTTTTCTACCAATGGAGGTTTTAAAGTTTCAATTCGCTTTATGGATTTTTAGTAGAAGAGTTAATTTCATATCAGCAATACCCTCGGAGGCTTGACATTTCCTGCCCGAATTTTGAAAAAATGTTTCCTCAAGACAGAAAATATGTTTACTCGATCGAATGCGTCTTTTATCCCTGAACTCATTTCATATCTAGTTTGGTACGAATTGATATCGCTTTCCTTGCAAGATATATCTAAGGATTATTTGCAAAACCCCTCTATTATTCAATTGAGAATCCACTTACTAATTATTAGGTGACAGATTAAAAAAAATAGTTGGAAATCAACTATGAGGCATAGATAATTAGAAGCAGTTTGAATTCTCTGCAGCGCCTATTCCAGTGTAGCTATGTATGTATGTAGATATTGGTTTTTATCTCTTTTGTATTGCAAAGAGAACTAATGAAATGCATAGACATGGTGCGCTACTAAGTCTTATTTTTCTTCAGCGGAGGCACCAGCATTGCAGACGTGTGTGGAATAACCATTTATGTATAAAGGAATATAATTAAATTGACTTCAGATACTGTTTGATTTTCCGTGATGCGTAAATGAAAGAAAAAATTATTTTCCAAGAGTAGAAACCGCAAACTCTAACATCTTGTGTGATTGAACTTTTAATTCTCTTGTCAACATTCCGCAACTCTTGCGGGTTTTACCGGACAGTATTGTAAGAGGCGAATAATAAAAATACGTGAAATGTAAAGATTGTGAGAAAAATAGATTTATTTTTATTTAATATAATCTCTCTTAAAGTAAATAAGTCCTTTACTTTTTCGGAAATAGTGTTTATGACTCTTGCTCTCTATTGACAATTATAGCATTATATTAAATAAAAAATATATGCGTACCCGAAATAAGCTATGTCTGAGCTCAAATTGGTGAGGGGAGGTTGGCAATGAAATGGATAGCAAAAAAAATAAAAAATATACGCGTCTGAGCTCAGACATAGCATATTTCGGGTATACATATATATTTTTTTTTTTTGCTTTTTTTGCTAGAGATGTGCTCCATTAGGTATTGCCTGCAAAACTTTGCATTATGCTCTTTAACTGAGAAATTAGATGTTTCCCTATGTAGAAAGTCCACAGACAGCAACATGAGGTTTTCCGTCTCTGAATTCTACAGATGACTGTCAAACACTTAGATAATTCATAGTCCGGTATTTCTACCCCGCCGGTAAGGAAGGTTACTCAATTTAGTTCTGCGGCACTGACGATGTCAGAGACTTTCAAATAGTCTAGTGCTACCAAGATACGTTCGGTGAGGTGTAGCTTTGGTTAAGATCTTGAGTTATCTTTGTATTTATGTCATGCTCTGAAATGTTGTTGGACCCAGATGTTGGGTGAATATCAATGCCACAAGTATCTTTTCGACCTTCAATAGGTATTTTGCTCCCGCCGGTAGATTGGAATATGAATTTCCATCCGCACATCAATTCTTGTCAGATTGGAAAGAGATATTACAGTTGTACAAAGCTTAGTTGCACTAAGAGAGATATTGCTCCAACTTTTTACTGCGCTTATTGTTGCTTACTATACCATGAAATTTTTGTCACTATCCCGTTCGCGGTTAAGTCTTGCTCCCATGTATTGTAGCCTTAAAAAACCTTAGTCGAATATAATCCGGGCCTCTCATATGATCCAGCATTTCTTACTAAAATCTTTTACCAACATATTGTACTTTCCAATCACAATCCTTTTGTAGTGGAATTCGATTATTTGCTTGGCTGCTTTACAGAAATTGATATATTATATATTAGTGCGGCGCTTGAAAAAACACGAATCGGGGACCCAAACGTGACATCTGCCACTCTTCAGAACAAAACTTTTTTCATAACGGTTTGTTAAAGGCGTGAGTTTTTACAACATAATCTCTCATTTCAACACAGCCGGACCATTTTGTTTTATACCATACCGATCTTTCCGCCAATATTGAAGGTGTATAACATAAAAGGGACCTAATTTATTGGAAGCAACATCTTCTGTGACATTACATTAAATTACCTTATAATAGTGCTAGATCTATCCAAAAAAAGTCGAGTATCATTGAAACTGTGGCAACTTTCTACTATGATATTTCCTTGTGGATGGTTATGAATTTCAATAGTGCAAAAACCGATATCTACCGATATCTACTGGCGACCTTGCGCAGAAGAATGTCAGTAACGTCTGATTAAAATCCATCAGCCGTTTGGAGGCGGCTTAAAAGCGAAGCAACAGTGTGGCGCAAAACTCACCTTACGTTGCCTAATTGCGGAACAATGTCAAACTCCTGCGAGCATCATCCACCGCACTTTTATGCTAATACAGTCAAAACAATTAAGACATTTCTGTCAGTCACAAAGGCAAACGCACAAGTTGTAGATTGTCACTCAAACGCATAGCCATCAACGTTCAACAATCGCTGATCGTCAAGCTTCAATTTGCATACACACACGTGTATGAAATGTGACCGTACAAAAAATAACATTACTGTCAATATCATTCACAATATCATTCGTCACTCGCTCATCGCTTGGCGTAAAACAAAACGAATTTTAAATTTTAGTACATATAGACACAGTAAACATCAATAAATCTCTCAGAGTGTTTCGCTATCGCCTGCACGATATGGACGGGACTTGATTACCCTTTCTTTGTACTGAAGTTCTTGAAAACATGGATACAAAATCTTCTGAATTAGCAGGCTACATTGATCATCGAAGATTTTATTGATATATGCAAGCATCAAAACACTTTGGCATAAGCCCCAGTCATGTTGTTCCGTAAGACCGGAATATGTTAGTACCTAAGGTGTAAAATGTATTGCTTATTAATAATTAGAAATATCTACAGTCTTAAGCTACATCGGAATAGCTAATGGAATTCATATGAAATTCTTCTTTTCTTATCCTCCCTGGTTCGTCATTCCCAGCCGAGGGATGCTGATCTAGTCGGTCATCATACCACACATCACATCAGACACACATAAATTTTGTACACATATTCCTTAAGATCTTTTATTAATTTTTTATTTTTATCAATATGGGAGCATTTGCAGTCAGAGCTTCTTGCTTGATTCATTATCGAATATTTGCGATATTTCCTAATCAAATCCAACCCACGTTGGCTATTATTATCCTACGAAAATGACTCATACAGATCAATTGTGAATGACTAATTAACTGCAAAATGCATGATATAATGATAACAATAAAATACTTCTGATTCCACCATATGACTCTAGACCATTTATGTTTATTTAGAAAAATAGGAGGATAGGTTACAGTAACCTCCTGTAAAATAAGTTGCCAGTCAAAAAACGATATTAATGTAGCATAATATTTATTTGCAAGCGTAACAGACATGTGTACATGTGCATATCCTCCTAAATACATATGTACAAGTACCTACATTTGTATGTAAGAATGCACTTTTGGAATGTGATTGTTGAAGCGTCAGCAATTTGACCATAAAATATTTAAAGGCTTACGTGCAATCATTTAAACACAGCAGCATTAGTGCTGATCATCACCACTACATGTGTAACAACAGACAGCTTCACATATATACGTACATAAATCTGTACCACCCTCCGTGTCTCTATTGTTATCTACTGTCAAGCCAGCAATAAGTGAGCAAAGGTGAATTTAGTCACTGTGGCGGCTTTGTTGTTACTACGTTCTGGTTATTATCTGGTCGCTTTTCGTCGGCAATGTTGTTGACAAAATCTGCTATTGATTGCTTAACATATCGTTAAATCACCATCAATCAAACTACGTCAACTTGTTACCCACCGACATTCGTAGTCTGTCCCTTGACAACCGGCCGTCGATTGCAATAATTGAACCGATTGAAATACCGTTCCAATACTTCGAATCACAATGTCCGTCCAGTCACATGGCTGACGTTAGTTCGCTTAAAAGCAAGCAAAAACCAGAAATTGTGGAAAAGCTGGCCGCTTGTCAATTTCAGCGCTTTGGTCCAGCAGTGTATTGTCTCGATGTCAGTGCTAAATGATGGCAGTGGACAATGTAGCAGAATGCACGTCACAACATATTCAATGTACGTATTCACTTCTGCTGTTCCTATTGCGTCGACGTGCATAAATTACATACACAAAATGCCAGTATTACGACTAAAATCAGTTTACTTATCTCGTATATATCGGCATATACTCGTATATACATAAATATAGGGCTGTATGCATAAGTATACCATGGTAACTATAGCACAATAGCTGCAGGGAAAAGAACTACAAATTTCTATTGTCCGAAGACGCATCAGAATCATATTAGTAAACAACCAGTTCGTTGAGGCCTTTCAACGGTATTCAAACCCTGAATCTTTTGTCTGACAAAGTTTCCCTTAGCCAATGTCATTATAATAGTGCCAACAACTAACGAACTGGTACGATTTCATTATTTAAACACCAGTTTTGAGCTAGTGCAGCTCATCACTACACCAATTCATTTATAAGTACTCGTATATGGCTATATGCATAAGATGCTATTTGAAAGCTAGAATGGTAATAATTTTAATTTTATCATACCAGTTATATGTCTGTTCATTTATTCATCTTGAAATTCGAAATACTTCATAGAAGGTAATAAAAAATGCTTACATGCCTCAGTCTTTCAATGACAACCCCTCACCAATTACCTGTAGTCATGATATGAAAAATAGTGCCAAACCGCGTACTGGTAAGTTAAAAATGAACAGAATACGTTGATGGTGTTGAATCGAAAATTTGCGTGTGCCAGCAAATTGTATGATCATCTCTGAAAAACTAGTATTGAACTATAGCTTTAACTTACTAGTTTCGCTTTTCACTGAAGGGTATAACCATTTCACCTTTTCGCATACTACTTAAATCTGTACATACATATGTACAATACAAAGTACAATGTTTTTGCTACATCCCAATCGACAAAGATCGTTTAATCCTTGCCACAATGTACGCCATTAATTCCCAAGTGGAATTAAATAAGCACTTTTTTATTTATTTCAAACCACTTGATTGACAGCCCACTGTGACAATGCGACGAGCGTACTCAATAAGATATGCAAAATATTTGACCCGCCAATCTAGGTATATGAGGACAATCACCATTGACACAGCAGTACCTTGGTATTTCATGTCAATTCCCCGTTTGGCTGCGACACCTTTAGGGGATATACTTGACAGCTAATCTGAGTTTTACCGGAGTTAAGCCGACTGTAATACAAGTAAAGCTTTACACATAAAAAAAGTAAGTAATTACTGTGGGAAATTTGTGCAACAATTTGAAAATGAAATCAAATCAGTTGATAATTTTTCGGATATATAATAATAATACAACTTTTGAATTAATCGCAACGATCGCTGTCTACTTGCAGGTTTTACCATTTTTTTTTTTTGGCGTAAGGGCAGCTTATTTTATTGATGTCGAAGGCTGCTTCAAAACCGACGAAAAAGTGGTGTGCGTCGATCCACTTTTCACCGATATATTCCAAAATGTGATGTTGTGAATTTCTAGTCAATTGTAGGCATTCCAGGGGTAAAGCGACGTCAAATCAACTTGTTGATGGTGGAAATTAGACCTTTACACAAAACTCTGGAAATGATATTATATGCGATATTAAGGAGGTTTAGTCAACGGTAATTGGTGCAGACTGTGTGGTACCACTTTTTGTTTACTATACTCATAGCCAGGCAATGAAAAATCATTTCCATCGTCACCGACGGGATCGGGTTCGCCATCTCCTGGTGTTTCATTTTTAATGTCACTCAATAGGCTGGAGAAGTATTCCCTCCCTAATTTCTGTATAATTTATCCATCGCTCTTTGGGTCCCACAAGAGTTTGCTTCTGTTTTGAAACCTTTTGTGAGTCGTCACACCTTTTCAAATACTTTCAAAGTTGTCCTTATCGACAACAACAACAACAATTTTTTGTGAATTGGGAGGGGCACACACAGTTTCAATTCCCAAAATGACACATTTTTCATTTCTTCGCCACCATTTTTGAATAGTTCTGCGAGTCGACCTACTACTACGGTCTTATTGAACAGATTGTTGAGTTCCAGTCATGCTGAATGCGTGCACCTTATCGATTATTCCCTTCAGTATTTGAATATATCGGCACGCATCGACCCCACCACTTTGTTGTTTTTAAGGCGGGTAGTTATTACTCGAGCTTCTTCATAGTCAGGCAATGAAAAATTCCATCGTCATCGATGGGATCGGGTTCGCCATCTCCTCTAGTTTCATTTTTACTGTCACTCGATGGACGGAAGAATTGTTCCCTCCCTGAATTCAGTATAATTTATCCATCGCTCTTTGGGTCCCACAAGAGTTTGCTTCTGTTTTGAAACCTTTTGTGAGTCGTCACACCTTTTCGTGGAAATTTCGAAAACCACCCCTGCCGGCTCGCTACTCAAGCTCTTCATAATCACACTTTTCGTACTCTCTTCTGTCTGCACATGCGTCAATATTCTATTCAATTCCCGATATTTATCTCGATCCCAAACACATTCAAAGTTGTCCTTATCGACAACAACAGCAACAATTTTTCGTGAATTGGGAGGAGCACACACAGTTTCAATTCCCAAAATGATACATTTTTCAGTTCTTCGCCACCATTTTTGAATAGTTCTGCGAGTCGACCTACTACTACGGTCTTATTGAACAGATTGTTGAGTTCCAGTCATGCTGAATGCGTGCACCTTATCGATTATTCCCTTCAGTATTTGAATATATCGGCACGCATCGACCCCACCACTTTGTTGTTTTTAAGGCGGGTAGTTATTACTCGAGCTTCTTCATAGTCAGGCAATGAAAAATTCCATCGCCATCGATGGGATCGGGTTCGCCATCTCCTTTAGTTTCATTTTTACTGTCACTCGATAGACGGAAGAATTGTTCCCTCCCTGAATTCAGTATAATTTATCCATCGCTCTTTGGGTCCCACAAGAGTTTGCTTTTGTTTTGAAATCTTCTGTGAGTCGTAACTTCTTTTCGTGGAACTTTCGAGAACTGCGCCTGTCGGCCAGCTTTTCAAGTTCTTCATAATCACGCTTCTCATACTCTTTTCTGTCTGCACTTCAAAACGCTTTCTTATTCAATTTCCTATATCTATCCTACACCGCACATTTATTGGTTGATCCCAAATACTTTCAAAATTGTCCTTATCGACAACACGAGCAGCCAGCGTAGCCAATAGCAAATTTTTGTGAATTGGGAAGAGCACACACAGTTTCAATTGTCAATTTGTACACTTTTCATCTCTTCGCCACCATTTTTGAATAGTTCAGCGAGTTGACTTACTACAAAGGTATACTCGTATAATCAGAACAGCAAAAACGTCATTTTAAAATTACGTAAGTTTAAAATTGACCTTAAAGCCATAGCCCAATGAACTATACAATAGAATTTATCCGGCAATTCGTACAATAATTCTACTCCGAGTTAGGAGAGTTTTCCGTAATGGAAATTATCTTTTCATCTTAAAAAAATTCATGAAGATCTTATTATTGCAATAGTATCTTCTCTTTTTACAGTGAATTTTAAGTTTCGAATAAAAAATTCTTGATATCAATTTTACAGGGTATAGGGAAAGCGCGTTTGCCTTTGCCATCTCTGCAGCTGGTATAGCCCACAACGTAGCTCGGGCATGTAGTCAAGGACGTTTGGTGTCTTGCGGTTGTGATCCTTCAATAAATCGTAACACGTTAAACAAAAATCTTAGGCGGAGCCTTGATAAAGAAAAGAAGCTATTTTTACAATATCTAGAAACCAATCAAATTCTCACCCCTGAGGAGGAGAAGAAATACGAGCGAGCGAAAATTGCAAGCCGTTGGAAATGGGGAGGCTGCTCCCACAACATGGATTTTGGTGTTGAGTTCTCCAAACTTTTTTTGGATTGTCGAGAAAAGGCTGGAGATGTTCAATCAAAAATTAATCTACACAACAACAACGCTGGTCGGATCGTAAGTATATCACAAACAAAATATAGTTATTTATAACGTTTACTTTAGAAATTGTTCTTTATTCGAAAAAATTATATTCATTAGTTATGAAATATATGAAATTATTTAATAATTTAAAATATAATTATAAGCTAGCAATGGAGGCTATCGTCCTGCGCGAACGTTATTCCCGGCTACCAAAAATTACACACACAAGTTATTCGTGTTAGGAAGGATCGAAAAGGTCAACTGTTTTCCTACACTTATCATTATTTTATTCTTTTAGAGCGAAAAGTTTTGTTATTATAACGCAGTCTCTCCATGTCAATGACAGCCTGTTAAAAATTAACAAAACTCAATTGTAGTTCGGGCCACCAGCAACTTATCATTTGTTTCGATTCGTTCAAAACCGATTTGGTGAATGTTAGATTTGCTTTATCTATAACATTATTTGGGTTCGCAATACCCGGGTTGCGCCATTCAACAGGCTGGAGAAGTAAGTGGACATCGTTCACCTGAATACTCCTTGGTTCATACATGAGTATGACCAGGCCTTGAAACCGACTGTAAGACACCGCATCTTTTGATAGGGTTTTCTAATATTACTCCTGTCGGCCAGGTTTTTAGCCGCTCCTCGAATGTCTTTCTCTCTTTTTTTATGCAAAACTCGACCATATTGCATATAAAGTCCTATCGAGTTACATATTTTGTGAAAGACTAAAGCCCGCTCCAGAAAAATTGATTGCACTATAAAAGTCTGGATTTAGCTTAGTAAGTCCACCTTTTACCAGATATTTATCATGCACTAACGCACCACCTCTTCGTCGATTTCGGCGGAGGCCGATAAAACATCTGATGTATCGGCGTTAGAAGTTTTAGAAAGGTTTTACGTAAGATTTATGGTCCTCTGCCTTTTGGAAACGGCGAATAACCTACCTACCCGGGTGAATAAGAATACTCCAGCTTTGATGAGTTTTTGATGCAGTATCGGCGGTGAAAGTAAAACAAAAGAAATACTTCCACTACGTTAGAAAATTGCGTAAGGGTTGTTTCGCCAGTAAGGAAGAATATTAGGTGGGTTTTACAAAGACCGGCGGCGACGACAAGCTTAATTTTTACTAGAACATGAACCAGCAAGGTAGCGTTATATTCCCAGTAAATGCACTGGACATTCCAGGTGCGTGCCCTCAACCTTAAGGACATATTACAAAAATACTCACAACCATAGAGATTTGGACTAGGACAGGAAATCGTGAGCTTCTTAAACTTCACATAAACTTTCCCCATTTGCGTGGACTTCTGAACAATCACTTGTTGTGATTGGACCTTGAACCTTCTTCTGAAGACATTTGAAATCAAAACTGGTTCACATACAACTCGCTTCGCCTTTCCTAACAGATGTAGCTTTAAGATCAAGCACAGCTATACCATAATGAATGCCTTAATTTCCTGCAGAATCACCTGATAAATTTATTTTTTGTTGTTAACTTTGTAAAACATTACTGAATAACTTTTTAATTACATTTTTAATATTTTGTGAGATTAAAAAATCATGTATTAGAGATTTAGGGAAGCGCAAAAATGTTGAATGTTGAGCAAATTTTCACTTTACATCGCATACAATTACATATGAGTACAAGTGCACGTCGCACTACAATTTCGTGTCGTGGCTTAAGTGTTCAAAGCTCAGACAGACTGGGGTAATATACACCATCACATCATAAAAAATCTTGCATTTTCCACTGTTGCTAAATTTTGATACATAAAATGACGCATGCGCAAAAAACAGTGTGCATATACAAATAATATCTTTTGTTGGTAGGACCGCCACCAATTTGAAAACACTTGAACAGAAGTATGTATGCGCAAACAGGCACTCTTGAGATACAAACATGAGCAGAAATTGCTTTGCACTTGCCTGTCAAAATTAAAAAATTCCGATAAGTAACTTTTCATGCCTTGCAAAGTATTTTTTTCAAAAATGTTTGGGCGACCATTTTGAGAAATTATGTTTAGGCTATTCACATTAAGGGCGCAGACAATTTTTATTTAAATTTTTCAATTTCTTATTTGAACTACATATGTGTTAGTTGTTTTTTACATTTTAGATGTTTGGAAGTAGTATGAAAAGATATAAAATGAAAACAATGTAATAGTAACAGAACCCTAATCCAAAATTGTTTAGCCAGTAATTGTAAAAATGTTCATATTATAACTTCTTGTATATTTGCCACTGTTTCCACGGTCTTGTTGTCTTTTCGAGTACGTGAAAAAAAATTTTCCTGCTGTTCCGGATCGTACTTTTACAGTATTGGTATAAATACATCCATATATTTTTCACCATTGTTAAATATTATTTAATTGTATCAAGTTTGAAAATATACTTTCAGGCTGTTTCAAATCACATGGAGTTGCGTTGTAAATGCCATGGCATGTCGGGTAGTTGTCAATTGAAAACATGTTGGAAATCTGCCCCTAACTTTCATATAGTAGGAAAACTGCTCAAACATCAGTTTCGAAGAGCTATATTAGTTGATCAGTCGAACCTAGGAAATGGAGAGCCCATTGTTGTAAAAAAGCGTTCTCGAATGAAAACGCAAAATTCAACCCCTAAGACAAAGCGAATTGACGAACGAGAGAATGTCGAAAGGCCGATTCATAAAATCAAAATTGAGAAAGGCGAAAAGCGATCGATAGGATCACTCGAAACATCTTTATTTTATTACCAAAGATCACCGAATTTTTGCGACCGAGATTTGAGCGCAGATATACAAGGTAAGTTATTTCATTACTCCTTTTTTATTTGAATGTTTACATTCAGTTTTCAAGTCTTTTGTCAGGCTTGGTATCAATGGTTCGAGTTCTGATCTGACCAATATCCAAATTTATAGAAAACCATTCAATTTGTGCTCGCCCTTCTGCAGGGACTGTCAACGCCTCTGATTATTTATCTAACATGAAATGAAATACTCATCAAAATACAAGCATTACTATTATACCTTCTCAAATTAGTTCTGCAGCTCGTATTATTTCTCCTTTTTCACAACTCGAGTTATTTAGCTTCAGTTTACACGCCCGTTAGCAGGTACACCAACTTCAGTCGGCATAAAAACTTATCGTTTTCGTGTTCCCGATGGCAGCTTTGAGATGTGTCGATGCTTTTCAAGGTTCGGGGAATAGTGGGTGGTCTATGCGAAATCAATCAGACTTAAATCTACACTAATAACCATAGGATCCTCCGAACCTATGAACCTCCTTATATTAGAAAGTATGTAATGATACATGGTCATTGCTGTTAAATGCGTTTTTCTCCAAAGCGAATGGATGTGGTAGGGTATGAACACAAGACAAAATGTTTCCTGTCATTTAAAAGTCAGCGCCCTCTAATCATATATGAGAAGTAAACAAGTTTACAATTTAAAAAAAAAATTAAATTTTTAATCATAAGACTTACTATTAGTGCATTAATTCAAAAAAAGGGTGAATTTCGTTCTACCTGCTTTTTGTCAAAGTCTCTCCCACGACAGGTTGTCGGAACACAGAACTAATAAAGATTTCGTTTTAATCTTTTTTCACATACTCATACAGTTTCCTCTAAACTGGTATCTATTTTTCTTTCCAGGCACATCCGGCCGCAGATGTAACATCAATAGTACTGTTAGTGATGGCTGCAATTCATTATGTTGCGGGCGCGGCTACAATTTGGTCAAACAAAAACGAGCTGACCGTTGCCATTGCAAATTTCAATGGTGTTGCCATGTGAAATGTGAGGAATGTGAATTGGAAGAGTGGATCAGTGTCTGTAATTAGAATTACTACAGTCTTTCCCAGCTTAGAGATTCAGTTAGTTCAGTAGAATGTTTCTGAAATAAATGTTTTACTTTTATTTTTTCTATGTAATACTTTTTTCAGACGAAAATCGGTATATAATATATATAATGGCGGCCGCGGTAGCCGAGTGGTTAGCATTGCGTACCACCATTCGGAATGTTATAGAAAATTAATTTAAATAAAAAATTCAGTTAAATTTTCTAATTGCGTTCGTCCCTCGACAGGGAATGCCAACCCATCCGAGTGTATTTCTGACATAAAAATCAAAAGCTCCTCATAAAAAACCCAACAGCCATTCGGAGGCGGCTTAGTATAAACTGTAGGTCCCTCCATTTGCTGGAAAAACATCAAGACGCAAAACCCCAAATTAAAGGAGCTCGGCCGAAAATTGCTTCAGCGTTTACAAAGCGCCATATATATATATATATATATAATAATATATAGACATATTGGTAACAATTGTACATGTAATTATCCGACAATTTAGAAGAAAGCAGCAAATAGCAACTTATACACGTCTATAAATTTTTTTGCACTTTGCTCAAATGGTTTCAATTTACTCTGGCAACATTTTAAGTCTTTGAACCTGATGGGGAAAAAAAATATGTTTGTAATAATGGATATAAATCAATTTATATTATTAATTTTAATAAAGAAAAAATAAATGCAATGACATACAAAAGCCCCTTATGCGGTAATAAAACGGTAAGAACATATACTGTGAGGGTGTGTTGCTTATAAGAAAATTGTTTTCTCTTAACTTAGAAATATGCTCAACAAGTGTGTGTATTATCTTTTTCAGCAAAAACTTACCACTCTTGCTTAACCCAAAGTTAGATGCACGAAAGACTATAATCTCCTGGCAACACACAAACAGTGCGCGCTCCTACGGCTTGGCTCCCACGTCACTATTGACAGTCATAACTTCGAGGTCGTATTGTCAGCCAGAAGAACTCTTGCCAACAGGTGCTACTTTGGACTGAATAGGCAATTAAAAAGTAAAGTCCTCTCTCGACAAACCAAATCTAAAGTCTACAAGTCGCTCATGGTGCAGAAAACTGAACGCGTTGGCAATGGCCAATACGTCAGACGATGGAAAGATTAACTATACGACTTATACGATGACATTGATTTAGTTCAGGGAATGAAGAAACAGCGGCTACGCTATCAAGGTCATGTTGTTCGAGAATAGGAAGAACTTCAATTCATTGGAAAAATCAGATAGAGAGCAAAGTGAAGTAACTATAACGCGCTATTGTTGGTTCGGTTATAATAGCGTAAGCGGTACTCACGTCAATGAAAATGAATAAGACGATGAATGCAAAAAGGCATACGATCTTGCAAACTTTTTACGTGTTAAAAGGAAATGACAATATTTGCCATTATACCTCTGATAAAAACGAGAGTAGTTCCAGTCAAAACTTTTTATCTTATGAGGTTGTCTCAGCTTGGGTAATTACGAGATACACATTCGATCGACTTCTCTATGATCATAGGCAAGCCCCCGCTGCTTACGGCTCAAAAGCCCAGTCCCTTCAGCCCTGCTCAACATGAAAGTTCTTTTTTCTACGACATATCTTTGATTTATGAATAACGCAATGTTAATTGTTGTTTGAAAAATAGATTGAATTATGCCCAGGTCCGGCTAAGCGTGATCCCTGAGACCAGAGCTTGATTGCACTTGAGAAAGGACTTAAAACTATTTAGAAGCTCCAAGATTAGCTTGGCTGTGTTAATCTTACTCTAAAGCTGGCTGTGCAACTAAAACTTATGTCATTAGCATGCATACCACTTACTTTTTACAAGCAGGACTCGAAAAATTTGACGTTTTATATTTAGATAATAACACTCGATCTAATTCGCCACCTGCCGGAAGTTATTTAAATTTTATATCTCCACTAACATCCAAAAGTTATGGAAAATTAATTTAAATAAAAAATTAAGTTACATTTTCTAAATGCGTTCGCCCCTCGGCAGGGAATGTCGACCCCTCGGAGTGCATTTCGGACATGAAATAAATGCTCCTCGTAAAAAAAACCATCAGCCGTTCGGAAAAACATCAAGACGCAAAACCACAAATTGGAGGAGAAGCTCGGCCGAAAATCGTTTCGGCGTTTACAAAGCGCCAATTATATATAGCTATACAATCCAAAGCAATTTCTAATTTAATTTTTTTCGAATACCAATATCGGCAATGTGCAAGTGCGTTCTCAACCAGAAAGTTTATGAGTTCCAGCCCTGGATGTCCTTGGTTGGGGAAACCGTAAGAGGTTTATGGCGTTTTCTGTATAGAAAATAAATAATTATCATGCAATATTACAAAATCTCTTCTCAAAAACTGTATTAACTAAATAAAAGAAATTAAGAGTATATTTGAAAATGGTCACAGCTTTACTTTACTTATTCATTTAGATACTATTCTGGCACAGTTGCAGGTACAGTACAATATAATACATTTACATTAAAAAGGCAAACTAGCTACAAACATTTTGTCGATTGCGGACGGTATTGGAACTAAGTCTTCGATCTTCAAATAGAAAATTCTCTGCAATCCTTGAATGCTGAGAGACCTTAATTCTGGTAATATTCCGAGTAGCCGACTGAAATGATATGATCCTCTAGGGCGCTTTGCATTAAAAATTACATAGTCCCTTAGGCTTTCTATTATTTTAAGTTGAATATCTTCAACTCTTTTAGGTTCTTGAAGACCATGACGTTCTGTAAATAAAGTAAATAACAATTATAAGGTATGTAAATGAAACTTAAAGTAAGAAAATTAGATCTTAGTATAGATCCTGCAAAAAATAACATCCACAAATTCTTATAAAGTCACATATGAAAAGTGGAATTTTAAAAATATACTCAGAAATAAGATTGTTATGATTTCATTCAGCTCCAAATTTTCGTATTTTGTTTATTGTACAATCAGTAGAAACTTGTTATAAGTATCTGTATCTGAACCTGGATTCGATACAGTGATTCCGTCACCCATATGTCAGCTGCGTGCGGACCTTCCCAAAAGCAATTAAATTTCAATGGCAAACTAATAATGTGCTTGAAATCCAAAGGAGATGACCTTCTCAAATGCTCTACGAAGGTACGTTTAACTAATTAAGATTGAAGAAACACCCAGTATCCAGCAGATTTCGATTGTTCAAATTCACTTACTTGAAAAAACGAAGGGACCTTAATATATTTTAAACCGCCTGCGAAAAGGTGATGAATTTTTTATGTCAGAAATACAGTCGGAGCGACTGTTGAGGGGTGACCGTAGTTAGAAAAATTAATTTTCTATAATTTTTTATGTTCGTCTACTCAGGATTCGACCACTTAGCGACTGGAACCGCAGCATAATACTAAAACTGTCCATTGCCGCTAGGATGGCAATAAAGGGAGCTTCGATATCCTTGGTAGTTCTTCGAATGATGCGGTAGGGTCACATTATCCAATCAGACCATGACTTATGGATTACGGTGCTTCAGTAGAAGTACCTATATTAACCTATCTACTCGATAGAAACTGTATCTCATTTTCTACAGTATTTCTTTTACTTGAAACTTTTATTCAATTTGAATAAATTGGGGCGTTCAGCGAAGTTACACTTATTAAATCCTTAGCGTTTAGTTAAGCAAAATTTAATAGGATCTCTAGACAAAAGATTTGATGTTTTTAAATAATAACTTTATTAGATATCTAACAACTTACCTGTTATAACCGTAAGTGCGCAAATACAGGCGAAAGATGATATATCAATTTCTAAAGTATGTAGGCGATTACTAAATTCCAAAATGTGATCTAGCCAGTCGCCAAAAACTCCTTCGCATTGTTTTTTGTGCATAACCATACCATTACAAAACGTTAATTTGTAATCATTAGGACGAGTACGATATGATAATCTCAGAACAAACATTTCTAGAGAAGCAGATTGGAAGAGCAACTCGCGATCCTCTGCATTTAATTCACGGAAACCTGGTATTCTGTAGGTGAAGTCCTCAATACTTTTAATTGAGTTTTTAAGTATTTGATAAAATTGACGGACATTTTCAGACTCACTAACAATAAGCGGCGAGTAGCTACTTTGATGTTCTGAATATGCTGTGTGGTCCAAACCTGATATATCTGGCGTTGTTTCCTTATGACCATTAACTAATGCCGATATTAATGATATTTTATAATATAAACCAAATCCGTCTTTGTTTTTTTGCTTTGATGGTAACCTTCCGCGACGCCCTTTGAGTAAGTCGGTTCGAACTACTTCTTTCTCCATACCGACGATCAAACACTTTTGAAAACGACAAAACTGGCATCTATTGCGGCGACGCCTATCCACAGGGCATGATTGATTAGCTAGACAAACGTACTTGGAATTTTTTTGAACAGTCCTTTTAAAAAATCCTTTACAACCCTCACAAGTCCTCACACCGTAGTGCAGGCAGACCGCTATGTCTCCACAGACCGCACATACTTGTACAGGCTTCTGTACGCTAATGCATTTCCGTACTTCTATGTTGTTACTGATACTGGATGTAATTGTCGTTTCATATTTGGATATATTGCAAAATAGTGACATTTGATGAGGATATGTTAAACGTGTTAGTTTTTTCTATACACTAGTTGGTACACTCTCCAAAGTGTAGTAAGTCGTGGAAATGTAAATATATCTTCAGTGTTTCGCAATATCCTTTGGTAAATAGCCTTAAAAGAAATAAATGTTCGTCAGGATCGCAATAACAAACGAAATGATTTTTGCAATTTATTATATTTTGCATTTTTGCATAAATCACATTGTCGCTTTCAATCACTTGTCGAAGGAGTTATCAGCCAGATAGACTCTAATTCTACAACAGACTCCAATTCGAAGAGATATTTAACTTCGTAAGCCAGAATTTAAACGACCACTCAGAGCGGGATAATGGTGGTAGCTTAGCATTCTTTTTCATATCTAATATAATATATCAATTATTGATAGACCAGATCAAATGGCAATTATTAACAACCTTTGCTCGAGAGTAAATGGCTACCTCTCCGACCCTTCCTATTTTTCACTATACAAGGCATCTGCATCTTTACCCGCGTTCCTATTAGATTATTCCACCAAGTGGTCTTATGAAATTCCAGCTTAATTTAGGAAAACTCTCTGCTATTTGAGAGAACTAATTAGTAACTCGGTATTAGGAAGCTTTGGAAAAGTATTTCAAGGTCCCTGCGTCCAGTTGAAAATGAAACGGACATTAATAGCGATCTCCCGCTTGAAAAACAACAAAGCAGTGAGTCCGATGGACAATGACAACATCTGATGAGTCGGTTATGGGAGTTTTTGAGAGGAAAGTTTTGCGTGAGCGTTAGGGTCCTTTGCGTGTTGGTAACGCCGAATATCGCAGACCAACGTTTCGTAAAGGTCATCGTTTCATCGGCTGCGATATTCGGCGACATTGTCTTTGTTCAACGAATAAAGCAACAACAGGTAAGCTGGTTAGGTTATGGGTACCGGAGGGCTTTCCGTTCAAAAATTACTCTCCGCCTACTTGAACTTTGCGAGTTGCGGATGAAGAAGCTTTAATGCTGTCAGGACAATAATGGGAAATGCTTCTGACATGCCTGCCCACCACCTATTTTTGGCAGCTTATAACTAGAAATTCCTAAAAAAATATTTACTTCTGTAAGCATTCATATTCAAAGTTATTTGTATTTAAAAGGCAACGTTACTCAAAATCAATATAAACAGCTTTTTGGAATTTAAACACAATTTTTGACATATTAAATTGTGTTATTATTATTGTACCCAGAAATCAAAAACTGTACATGTTATTTTTTCTTTCGACTTCTAATGAGTACCCGTTCGTCTTGGATTAATACTGGTGCGACACCCCTCCTATATATGACTTATACTGCAGCACCTCTACTTAATTAGAAAACTGACACTTCTTTTGGGAAGTGCCACTTACCTATTCTGTGTTATTGACATCGTGTTCAAGAGATTAGCCAATACATAAACGAACATAACTTTAATTAAGAACCACTTGAATTTTGAATTTCTATGTTACGTTCATATGACAGTTTCGACATTTCTTCTCACATTCATTGCATCACAGGCGGTTTGGGATTCCTTCGAATTCTGTAAAAAATAAGTATTCATTGTAAGTACCAATATTTATTCAACGAGAACGTTTGTCTTATAAAAAGAAATATAAGAAAAGCTACGCTTAAAAAAATATTGAATAATAAAAGAATTCCGCCATAAATCGTACCAAGCCTGTGTTGAAAAAGGAGAGGGGCTGGACAAGTCAGCCTGTTTGATTCCAACTAAGCGTCTCGAAAATAAGCGAGATAACGTGAAAAATTTCTTTTGAAAACCCGTATACCTTGGCGGCAAGGTATATTATATTCCAGGTGGTACCCACTTATGTGGAAATCTACTCGCAGCTTCTCTCCGACGAATCACTCTCGTCAAATCCTTCGGAAGGTCTTGGGCTCAAATCCTGTCCTTAACAACATACAAAATTAGGGGAAATTTATTTAAACAATAAAGTTAAGTTAACTTTTTAATTGCGGTCGCCCCTTTGCTGAGAATAGCTCTGTTCGGTGAGAATTGTCAGTAAAAATTAGCCAGTAACGAAATGCAAAAATTTCTCTCTATCGGTGTAAGTTCTACTAATGGAGAGACCTAAGATTTAGTCTAAGGCGGCTCACAACAGCTGATGGATTTTTATGGTATGTTTTAATTCAGAGGGGTTGACATTTAGTGTGTTTGGCGAGCTGCTGGGAAGTAACAATTGTTACTGAATTTTAATTAACCGCGTTCCGTGGGGCAAAGAGCCAGTAGAATTTGCCTAATTTTGAATGTAAGAGCCGTTCAAGAATCCAACGTGAGAAAAATATTCCACCGTAACCAGGTACCTAAAGCAGTCTTACCGGAAAGTATCTCGATGGCACTGGAGTGATGGTAAAAGTTCATGCAAAGCCGGAAGATACATCGAGCTGTCAGAATAAATACTTACATCAACCGAAATAAATATCTGAAGTAGTGAAACCACAACTTTTGCCTAAAAAACGCATCAGTGGTCAAAAAACAAAAGTTTAGAGTCAATTTGAGTTATAGACAGAAAGTTCCCCTTCAGAATTTCGGAATCGATATATATCCTAGCTTTTCTAGCCAAGTCTCGGACATCATTGCTTTCTGGGTTATGATCATATGAACAGAAATAACGAACAATCTATGTATAGCAAATTTTTTCCTTATATACATTTTATTTGTCATATATCTTTTTTTTAATATTATTAAAATTTAAACAATTATGTTCAATTAATTACATTTTAGGTATAAATTAGTTAATATTCCTGAAAACTAACTAACGCGATTGCGTACAGCAAATAATCATACAAACTTTACTCGAATTCGATCTTATGTCATCGTGTTTGTAGCAGGTCAGATTAGGAAACAACAGCTCAGAAAATTAAAAATCCAATTTTTTTAGCTTTAAACCCAATTTGTTTCGTCAGGCCAAATCTGGAAAAACATTGGAAACTCAATTTTTTGCTTAAGCCACTTTAAAAAAAATCAGGTTTTCCATTCAAAAACTGTTCTTTGGGAAGGTTCAAATGCTTACAATTAATTTGCCAACTCCCTCCGCCACAACTCTCCTAGTCTCACAAGTGATGACCTAACGCAGCTGGTTTTACTTGCTTTGCTGTGAGAACCGTCAAAACCGAATAGAACTATACTAGAACGTATGTGAAGAAACCAAATGTTCTGTGCTTTAAGCAGTAGAAACATTGCAAAGCTTTTAATAATGCTATGCAGTTTTTTGCCTGTGTTTCTAAAAATAGATATTGTAACCACGGTTGTATTTCTATTTAGTCCTACAAGAACCCAAAAAAACAAGTCAGGGAAAGCCAACACAGCCAGTTCTCATCGGGCTACAGCCTTAATTCGTGCCCAACATTGGAGAATCTCTTACGCGTCTGACTATTCTGCAATTCTTTAACTTTATTTATTCACAAGATAAGCACACCACAGCCTTTTTGTTTGGTTTTGGCACTTCTATTTTGCATTTAAAGCCATATACGTGTTAGAGAACACAAGTTCGGTTCGTTTGCGGTAATATAGCATTCAGCTGTTATTTACAAGTTTCCATGAGCGTAATGAGTTCGCATTTGGCAGGGAAACACATGAATAAACGAGCGGCTGTTTGGGCAAGACGTAGACTCGTGGCAAGTTGGAGAGTCATCCTGCAAATATACTATGTGTATAACTTTATATATGCATCACTCGGAAATGAGTTTTTAGTATTAGTAGTAGGCAATGTATGTGAGCTTAACGCCATACAAATTACGTCATAGTTGGTTAATTTTGTTGTCAATCTAAAAATATAACCAAATTCGATGACGTCCTTATAATGCACATGCGCAGATAGAGCTGATGTATGCAATTGCCTTATTGGAAATTTTCAACTCGAATATCTAACGTTTCTACCGCTTTTGAATATTATGTGCTTGTACACATATATATATTTATATAGTTGCCGCTTTGTGAACATTTAAGCGATTTTCGGCACCTGATCTGTTGTGAATACTTTGGCTGATGCATTTCTTTAAAAAAGATGGTTTTTTATTGAAAGCTTATTAGTTTAACAACAAAATTAGAAAGTAATTATAAATAAAAGCTGGTCTGTGAAACTTCTACATCCTAATAGGGATCTGCCAGTGTTTGTTCGCTCAAATTACTATGAAAGTGATAGTCTACCTAAAGCTGAAACCGTTTCCTTGGGCATATGTTCATATATAGCAATTGATTGTTCAGTAAAATTTTGCGTCTTAAATGATGTAAACGACTTTCGTAGTATAAAAAAGTTAATATACAATATATATACACACATTTATATGTATAGGTGCGTTCAGGCAAGTAAGGAGTAATAAAATAAAACAACGAAAATAAATATGTTTATTTGTTTATAACTACAAATGTGAATTAAATAAAAACTAGTATAAGCAATTTTTGCTGGCGCAATAGCCAAATAGTTAGTCCTTGTCCGACTAGCATCCAAAATTATCAATCTTTAAAATCCATCGGCCGTTGGAATGTGGCTTAGAATAAACTGGAAGTCGCTTCATTTGTTGTAAAATTGCTCCAGTGGATGCGTATATATAAAAAAATAAAGTTAGATTCGTTTAAACACTAAACAAATATATGTGCATCTCAAATAATAAAGACAGGTTCTCATTTACTCATTATCGACCGTCATTTTAAAAATCATTATAAATTCCTGTTGTCGTGCCACCTTCTAAGTAACTGCTGTACCCTTGTATGTATTTTAAATAATTTTAACAAATATCACTTTATGCACCGTCGTTGAAAAACAGAATAAATATTCAATGGAGACTTGCAGTAATCTTTAACGTATCTCTAAATATGAAAGCCATCAGCCGTAAACATCACTTAGATACATGTGTCACTTTAATCCTGTTATCACTCTTGATTTACCTTGAAGGCCTGAACATTTCAATCAAAACTATTTTTACATCTTTTTGAATTTAAAGTATATCAATAAATAATTCACTTTTTCTGTGTCCACTTTAGAAACAAAATGATATTTTCTCTCACTTATATAGACCAAACATACTCTTCCTTACATATTTAAATGTTTATGTGTCCTTCATACATCATCTAACTACTATTATTTATAATTTTTAATAACATTGTCTGTAGTTGAAGTGTACGTATCGTCATTATTTCACCGCACGAAGTCCAAATAAATTGTAAACATTTGAAACTTAAGACGTCTGCAGTGTACTCTCAACAACACTACAAAGCTCGATGCTCATCGAAAGCGTTTAAACCTGAAATGCATAGTCTTCAATACACACATAAAAATAAACACGTCATAAATTGTGTAATACTCTAATACACATGTAAATATGCACGAATGTACGGACCATCTTAATACCCTTTTCGGGTAAAAATAACTTTAGTTTGATTCCGTTCTTATCTATATGTACTTTACTTTTTATTGTTTAACAGAAAATTGGCGCACGTTTCTAAGTGATATAAACAATATTAACAGAATTTTCGTATCTATTTTATTTATGCGGAAAAAAGAGCTTGTAACTAACGTACGAGTAAATTCAACCAAAGCAATGGGAGTAGGAACTTTGTTTAGCATTTTATGAAGATTACATGTTTGATTGATCGAGTAATGATAAATAGCACAACGTCATAACTACGTCATAAGACTGATTTAAATATGTTATGTAGAATTAACCGTTACTTCGAATTCTCAAACAGTTACACTTGCTTTGATTTGCTAATTCAACCTGTTCGAAAAATGTGTTGCGATGTTTAAAATAATGCGACTGTTATATGTAGATCTGGGAGAATTTCATATATAGACAGAAAATTTTAATTTACATATATATTTTTAAAATACATGTAACGGTGTTTAACGTCTTTTCCTGCAATATTTAGATTGATTTTTCTCATGTTTTAACGGAAATTGTTCCGTTTTGTTAATTTAAAAATTCATACATATGCATGTAAAAAAAATGGAATGTTTCGAAGTTCTATTGCTTTTGTTTTCAAAACCGGATTCTTGGTTAAATTTGCGGTTAAGATATTTTATCGTAATGCAAGATATTACGTCATTTTTGATTAATGGATGAGGCGTACAACATATCACGTTAAGACAATAATAAAACAGAACCTTTTGTCGTCCTCATTCTTTGTATATGCAGAGTCAAAATGTCGTATGTATGCATTTACCTTTTGGAAAATTTTATTTGAATATTTTACCTTTGTACAGCTAGCGTACATGCATGCATGTATAAAAATTTCTGTACGATATTAGTAGTAGTCAATATACGTACTATGTATATTTACATATATACATATTTATATATTAGGTTATGTGTTTGCCTAACCCAATACAAGTTACGTCATAGTTGGTCGATAGTTTATGTAAAGAGAAAACTAAATTTTATGACGTCCTCATTCTGTACATGCGCAGATACAGCGCACGCAAATATGTACATACATACATATATGTATGTATGCCCAATTGGAAATTCTGAGTTAGCAATTTTATACAGCTTTTAATTTATAATTTTATATACTCGAATTGAAGTTCCTAATAACTGAAATGCAGTATTGATGAATTTATTGAACATTTACTTGTAGTAATAAACGGTATTTTTACTCTAGACTTTTTCAGAAAAACTTAAATCTAAACTCGATTTGCCCAAAATTAATCGATTTGACATTGCCAGTTTTACTAGCGACCCTCACAGTTTATTTAACCACAATGCTACACAGTATCTTTTTAAACTAAAGTCAGTTCGAGTAAAAATTTGCAGCAATAAGCCATTTGTTGCGTGGTAGCTCACTCATGTTATCTAATCTAATTCAAGGGCAGCTCCAAAACTTTTTCTAACAGGTAGAAGCTGCATCACCCTGGTCCGAAGCACTTGAGCTTTAAGCCAATCGACCGCCTTTTTAGAAATAATTCCAAGTTGAAGACAGCGACTGTTTGCATTTTTTACATTGTTTCTTCTAGCGCTGCCTTCTAAATAACTGTTTTTGCGCGAGGTCCGATTACCATCTGACTTGCCGTTGTACTCTAAAAGTTCCTGTGGGATTTTAGTCACATTACCATCAATTTTCGTTTGTCTCACAGTTTGAGTTTCGATTTATATTATTTGATTGGATACATATCTCTTAAAGTGTAATGTATATATGTACATATATCAATAAATAAAACACTTTCTCTGTATACGCTTGAGAAACATAATGTTATTTTCTCTCAGTTATATGTACATACCAAGCATCTGATGCTCCATTCCACTCGAACTTAGTCTTCCTTGCATATTTATAATTTAATGTGTCTTTAATTCATCATTTAACTTGTTCTATTTCTATATTTTTATAATTTTAACTGTTGTAAAAATTTGTGTATCGTCATTATTTCACCGCACGCTATCAAAAAAATGTAAACATTTGGAACTAAAGACGTCAATGTGCAATGTGCTCTCAACAAAACTACAAAGCTTGATGCTCATCATAAGCGTTTAAACCTGAAATGCATTGTCTTCAAAACACATATACATACAAGTAACACGTCACTAATTGTGTCCCAGTAAGAACTTTGCACGTAGTGTAAACAGTCATATGCCTAAGGTGCATGCTAGTAAAATTGTCGCCAACAAAGGTGATATCTTTCGTAAACATAAGAGGAAATTGCGTGAATTCTTTTTGTAAATGGGTATCTGAGATAAATCAGATTAATTAAAATATCGCTTCAAAATAATATTAAACAGAAAGTTAAAACTACCGTAAAAAAAATCGTGGATGTTTTATGAGAGACAGCTATAAATGTATTTGTATATTATTAGAAACATTTTCCAAAAATATTTTATATCAAATTTTTCTCGGAATATGCGATGTGAAGTCAACTTTTGCTTGGTATTCCCACATAGCTACTTTTCAGCTGCTCCCATATTCACCAAACGCTTCCAAAGTGAATACATGCAATCACATATTAACAAGAGCAGGCCAACATTTTAGATTTCAGTACAAACCTTATGCTTATAAAACCAGTTTTTATTCTACAATTTAAATTTGTGTTGAAACCAGCTTAAGTCGTGAAAAGTTGAAAATTCATTTCTTATTTACCTCCTCTTGTCAAATTCGCATAGCGTATTTTTTACAAACGGTATTATTAATCCGAATGGGTCTAATCAGAAAGCTCACTCTGGGAATCGAAGAAAATCATCTCTACTTAAGCTATATTGGTACTAATAAGCCAATAAAAGTATTAGAATTTTCAGCAAAAGGGAATAATGGCTACAACATAAAAAAAGATAAGGGGAGAAAGCTAAGCCCTTAGTCTTTAAATGAATTCGACCAAAAACTGGTTCCATGACCACAAATTGGAGCCTGCTCAGCAGGAAATCGCCTCAGCGGTTGCAAAGTTCCAATGATCATTATTATAAAATTCATTGCATAAAGATCTCTTTAAAAGCAACCAGCCGTCCTAGACCTACTCTGCTCAAGCGATAGTCTTTAAAAACATCGAAATAGCTAACAAAGATGTCTGAATTGAATATATTTGCTTTCAAGCTTTCACTAAAAACTAATATTTTATAATCGCAATTTAGATTTGATATTTAAATGTTTACGCGTGTATTATATTCTCACCTTCGTCATGCTAATGAAGGTTAAAATCTGGAAACTGAATTTCGTTTACGTCGTTTCTTCCTTTCGCAGTTTGACGGCAATTCGAAACAGCTAGTGATCCTTCCTTTTCATCTACTTCCAGAACTTTCAAGGATGGAGTATTTCCACCCGTCGGGATGACAACTGTATCTGAATTCGGCGAATTTGGAAATGTGCGCAAACAAAAACAAAGTGCGCATCGCTAAGGTTTGTGATGCTTTATTTTATCATAAATTTTTAACAATAACTGCCGACGTCGGAGAGCAAGTCCTTTGCGCTACTTATTTTGAACATTATATTACTTATATTCTTGATCTGTTTCATATAATATTATTGTCAATACACCGAAAAGCAACTTTTTTGCACGAAAAGATTTCAAAATGTCAGAGTTTGCAAAGTATTGTTGCAATGCAAATTTATAGAATGCAGGGTTGCATTGGTATGAAGCGGTTATTAAGTTGACGTTATGGAACTCGCCCTATCATATGCATTCTCTCAACTTCCCTGTCCTATATTGAGAAAGCAAAACCAACAAGCACGGTTATTGAAGCTGATAATGTTTGACATTTCCCATGTTGACCAACTTTACAGTTCTACATACTTACACATTTCTGGATACATGTTTTCCGTCAATAAATGTAAAAAAAAACTTAACTGTAAGATAGTTTACTATTTAACTTTGGATGTAACATAATAATAGCTCCGCTCGGTGGGAAATGTCAACCGCCACACCGAACGCTAGTCATTAAGAATTTGTAAGAGTTAATTCCGTTAAATATTAAGAAACAAACTTACTATCCATAAAGAGATTAAAAAATGCTATTTAAAATAATTCAATTTATTTTTATTCGGCTTTCCACACTTTTAATTTTTTTGCACACTAAATGTTGAAGAAGGAAAGTTGTCCCTGGAATGAAAAAATACAGTATAGTAAGTTGCAAGCTCAATATTTATCTTGGTAGTCTTAATTGAAAATACTTTTTATATTTACTTAATACACCACAGTATAAAAAAACGACTATATCAAATATGTATATCCAATTTAAACTTTACAAATTAAAAACGTTGCCCCAGTTTTGATCTAACATATTTCTAACATTTATTTTCAACATTTCGAGACTTAAATAGAACTTTAAAGACTTGTAAAAGAAATTCAACACATAAATAACGAATTGATGTTCCGATTCATCGAAGGCATTTGATGCGGACTTAGCTGCCAAATGTAGCTGGCAGCTGAGTGGGCAATGGAAAAGTAAAAAGCTCTCAACTCGTTCCTTATCAATATTCTGCTATATGGGACAGTGGATTGGACGATGTTGTGGAAGTCAGGTTTAGAAGTTTCTGAATGAAACTTCATAGCCGTGCTAAATTGGTCTTGTACCCTGTGCGTGCAGAGGATAAATTTATGGACAGACCTACAATTTATACTAAACCGCCACCCAACAGCTGATTTTTTTATGAAAATCACATCTACCTCTCATATAAAGGTAAGTAAGATATATAGAAAAATGCAATAATTCCAGTTGTAATATATAGTTACAAGTACTAACCTTACTGATCTCTTGTTGATGGTATGCCCAGCTCAGAATTAGTCCATGCAGAAGTATCAGGATAGTCAAACTCTCCCTGAAAAATAGAAAGAAAGTCAATGATCGATATTGGTAAACGATAACGAAACGAGGTCTGCATTTGTTAAGTTTTTCCCTGAGCAATCATATGCAATTGTCTATATATTATCTTATAATAGCAAGTAATTTAGGTTCGTTTCGGCGAGTCTTACGATATTAAATGTCCGCCCATCAATTGTTTATATATTATATTACTATAATAGCAAATATTTGGGTTACAAGAGCGGATACATGCATTCGAAAGTTGGCTCAGAACCTGTTGGCGGGACAGGTATTCATCGATATTCGGTATTCAAGGTTGGACGTCTTCCCTTCCATTAATTAAATTACTACATGAGAATTAGATTCTTGTATATATACGTGTGTTTCCAAATTCTTAAATATTACGCCAAACTCACTATCGGCATATAACAATTTAATTAGATGTGCTAAATGAGAGTTTGTTTGGTAGTGTTATTGCGTTATTCAAAAAACAAGCAGTTTCACGATAAGCGTCTAACTCGAACACTTGATCTGCAATCGGCAATTGCCGTTTATGTTGCGAGCGACGTTTCTTTGTCTTTACTCCAGATACTGGCGAATAACGATATCCGTGATTTTCGCAATTACAATTGTAGATCTCGTGCAGTGAAAAAGTGGCGGAAGGTCAGTGAAATAGCAGTTTACTTTCTTTTTCATATAAGGTATCATTAGAGTGTGCAAGAACAATTTGAAAACCCTGGTGAGATAGTCCCCATGGGCCGTGAGCCGTGGGTCGTGAAGAACCTTCTGAAAATCTTCCCTGTGGGTACGTAAGGCTATAACGCAAAAGGTCGTGATGCGTTTTAAAGCCACTCCAAAAACCAAACGGTTATCGCCTACGAGTAGTGCAGCTTTATCTAGCTGGGAAGCAAATAATAGGAGGATAGTGAAGGGTTTTCCAATAAGAGATTTTATATGGAACAGTCGGCTATTCCGGTGGATGAAGCTGTTATTTTTTTTGACATTTGACATGTAAAAACTACGCCTATCATCAGGCGGTTTTATTGGACCTTACTTTTTCTAGATTGCGCTAGCGGAAAATAAATAATAGTTTTTCATGGTCGGAATTGGATGGTATTGACTTCTAATGGGGAAAACCCTGTATATATATTATATATTTCGAGATCGTCGTCGCCTGACCGAATTGCTATGCACTGAGGTTCTAGAGAGTATCTCTGTAGTTAATGTCGCCGTCGTTAAGACGACATTGCACGGCTCCAAAATGAGCAGCAATCCACCACCATGCTGCCGCTTGCGAAACTTACATATGATATGGTATCCAGACCGGCTAAGAGGATCTGAGCAGCAATCCACCACCATGCTCTCTCTGGCGAAACTTACATATGATATGGTATCCAGACCGGCTGAAAAGATCTGAGAAATCGTTCGGTTTGGTTTTATATATCGCAGTTTAAACTGTAAAAGTCTGATGTGTGCATATTGGTCATGTATTGCCCCCTGTGGGGGATGCCGCACATTGGTGGCAATTTGCAACGGTTGGGGCAGACTCCTACAGCATGGAGCGAGGTACGCAACACTCCACTCACGGGTGGTACGCAGGCCATATAACGTTCAAAAATGGCAGCAGCCAGAGCAATAATTGCATCTTACGAAAATTTCGTTCCGATGGACTTGGTCTGACACACTGGATAGGCAGTTCGGCAATAGATTAAAATTATCTAATGACCCAAGCCCCACTGAAGCAGCGGCTTTAGCTTCCAGGCGCGACTCAGTACGCGAATCGGTACTGAAGGCACAGCCTTGAAAGCAGTTGAGGATTTGGTTAATTGCCTGCCCTAATTAGAGATATTTGAAGCAACCCTGCTGAAAGGTATTGCTTCGTTAATGCGCTTCAACTAAAATTATTTAATGATCTAAACCACACTGAAGTGGCGGTCTTAGCTTCCAGGCGCGACTCACTACTCAAATCCGATCCCAGAGGCGCCCTTATCAGTGAATTCAATTCGGATATTCGGAGCAGATCAAACAGCACTGCAAAATTAAGATTTTCAGGAGTTTATAGGTAATATGAAATATTCCAAATCATCGAGGTTTTCAATTTGAGTTTGGCCTCTCTGATAATACCCGATATATGGATACTGAGGTAAAGCCGAGGGATTTGAGCCCAACAGCACTGCAGTATGGTTTCCGTAGAGTACCACAATTTTACTTAACCGCATGAATACCCAAACTAAACTAAAACATTCTCGATTCCTAATTACCGCCAGGATTAAAAGGGTGGGCGATGAACTATGCCAGTGAGTGGTATACTCTGCTACTTATTTAATTCTTATATTTCGAGCTTCCTTTCAGGATAATCTATGTTAGAAAGCAAACTGCTACTCAGTCGGCCATTTCCACTTCTTCACTACACGGCATCTACAATAACAACCTACGAAATCCTCGGGAACCCTTTCCACGAGATTAGCGAAGGAACACCGGCTCGAACTTGATGTGAAAGTCGATGACATAAGAATTGTTACAATAAATAACCCAAAAGTTACTGGGAGTCACATTTAGCAACCTACACTCCTTCGCCCCGCATACCAATACAGTTATGATGTCACCGACAAATGACTTACACAGCGAAACATACATGCTCCAAGTTAGAGAGAATAATGTTATGATGCCATGTGACCAATATCAGCTTGGATGCCGTCGTCGGGACATTTACTCGAAGGCGAACTCTTCCCGAGGCACATCAAGAAAGGAGTACTCGACTTCTAAACGGGGGTAAAGAGCCTCTGCAGCAAAAACGACCGGCTGGCCGATCGCCCTATAAGTTGCGAGCAACATTTCTATAATTTTCCCCGCGTTTTCGACTTGTGAGCGTGGGCGTAGTGAAGGATTGGCAGCTGCAGAATGTTACTCCTACTAACTTGAAAATCTTAGATATCGGTATTTCATTGTCACGTTCAGCTCGAACCGGTGCTCTTTTTTCTAGCCGGTAAAGAGGGTCGCTGAGAATTGCGCTCATAATAGTTGTAATTGTGGGAAAGTGAAAAGTGGCACATTTTGGCGAGATAGTAGTTCACTATAGAACGGTCTGCGCATATGAGGTCAGGGAAACGCCCTCTTATTATCGAGGAGACTACCTCTCACACAGCGCAAAGTCGATTTTGGTTAAGGCCATAAACTATGTGGGTGTTTACGGCCTTAAAAGCAGTTACGACTTTAGATTTATGGGATCTCCGATGAATCCTGGTGCAAGGTGTTTTTCCGTGGACTAAATTCAACTGTTGATCTAAACGGATTTAGGCCGCCGAAAAATTGACAGCCTGTGCGTAGAACCTAAGTGCGCTAAGAACTGGTCCAATGGCTGCATTCGAAAGACTATCGCCTTTTGATCTCATGATGGAAACCATTATGAAGTCTTACTGTTCAAACAGTTATAAATGTGTTATAATCGTTGCTCTTTGTCTAATTAACATAAAGAACACTTTCAGCTTTGTAACCGCTGAAGCGATTTTCGGCCGAGCTCCTCTTACAATTTGTGCGTCTTAATGTTTTTCCTACAGTTTATACTAAGCTACCTCCGAACCGCTGATGGCTTTTTTATGAGGAGCTTTTGATTTTAATATCAGAAATACACTCGGAGGAGCTGACATTCCCTGCCGAGGGGCGACCGCAATTAAAAAATTTAGCTTAATTTTTTTTATTTAAGTTAATTTTTTATAACTTTTTGATGTTGGTCGCACAGGGATTTGAACTCGAGCCTTCCGAATGACAGTACGCAATGCTAACTACTCGGTCATCGCGGCCGCCAATATATACTACTTGAATCTTATTACGCCATATTGCGATATATTTATCGAATCGGTAATGATAGTTAGTCTTACCATTAGCACATTGTACCCGCTGAATCGATTGATGTTTTTCCAACAAATGAACATACAGTTTATTCTAAGCCGCCTCTGAACGGCCCATGGATACTAAAAATGGAGCTTTTTATTTTATGTCAAAAGTACGCCCAGAGGGCTTGACATTTAGTGCCGAGCGGACAACATTCGCACCGTAGCCATCCGAATGACACCACGCAATGCTAACCACTCGGCTATCGCGGCCACAATATATAAATATTTTTTGTAAAAAAATTTGGAGCAAATTGTTGTTTTGAAATGAGATTATCTCGATCAGAAATCAACCATAAAGCGAAGCTGCTGTAAAAAGGGCTTATGACTTTTAGATTCAAAATATATAGGTACTTGAACGAACCTAGCCAATAACACCATAGAAAAACGAATTATAAATGATATCTCTATGGTTATTTAGTTTCTTTATCTGTTACGAGCGTGTTCTAAATGATTCAAATTTAAAAACTACTAGAGTATTTTATAATAATTTTCTGAAAACAATGCGTTTTATTATCAACATTTTACAAAAAAAAAACCTTTTTAATTTTATAAAAAAAAAAAACTTTTTAATTTTTTTTATAAAAAAAACTTTTTCAATTTTATAAAAATAAAACTTTTTTAATTTTGTAAAAACAACTTTAATTTTAACCATGCAACGAAACCATCATCGTTTATGTTGAAATCAGTGTATCAGTATATTGTTTGCCTGTGCTATTTTGCACAAGCTCGCACAAGAGAACATTGCGCAAACTTTATCGAAACGGGGCGATAACAAAATTTTTATATTCCTTCCTGTCACTCCTCTCTTTCATCATTGAAATGTAACCACTAATGTAGTTTTTCCTTAATATAATAAAAGTTCGGCTTTTAATAAGACTATACTCCTTTAGATTATAATAGAATATATAATTAATCCACAAAAATGGAGTTTGAAATTGATGATTTTGTGTGTATTCTGTTTTCAAAGTATCAGTTTTATACAAGCACTAAAAGGTTGTATTGGCATACATGTTGTGAAGTCAGAAATCTAAATTCCTGAGTTTTACTGTAGTTATTAAAAGCCAACCTAAGTTTATCCTTTATATAAATACATATATTTTTAAGGGATATATGACCGAGCTCGTCAACCAAATTTGATACGCGTCTTGATGTTTTCCAAACAAATGAAGGGCCCTTCAGTTTATACAACGCCACCTCCGAACGGCTGAGGGGCTTACTTCATGTCAGAAATACACTCAGAGAGGTCCACATTCCCACAATAGAAAAATTAACTCAACTTTATTATTTAGACAAATTTTTTTGTGGTTTTGGTCGGACCAGAACTCAAACCCGGTTTTCCAAATGGCAGAAGTTTACCCGATTGCATAAATATCTAACAACGCAACACAATTCAAAATAAATAAATCAACTTACAGTAATATGACCGGACTCATGCCACAGATGCCACAATATCCACCACCACATTGCAGCTCCAACAATTTCGGCTCCTACCGTAGTAATTTTGGATTGCTTCTGTGGGACGGTTCTGTATGAAACTCTGTAAAATATTTACGTAATATTAAAATGAGAATTTGATAACATTAAACGAAATTTACTTACACATGACTCTTCCTAATATCTTTAATACGGTTGACATTGCAGCTTCCAGATAAAAGTTGAAGTCTTCTAGTAGCCTTGTACACAGACAAAACCGAAGAAATCATTGTGAAACTTTTTTGACAACGTTAAGCAATATGTAGTAATGATAAACTAAAGAAATAATGCACAATTCGATTGTTTTCAAAAATCGAGGTGCTCTTATCGAAACTTTATACAAATATTAAGCAGCGTTTCCACGACTGCTTATTTCCGTTTGCGTGGTTTTTCTATATCTGTAATTAAAAAGTTGATATTTAATCAATTGTAAAAATATGTAAAAGAGGTAGATAAGCTGTGTCCTCCTTTTCAGAAACATAGTGTTTTTATTTTAGAAATATTAAAAAGCGCGGAGAAAACGAAAAATTGCGAGTGTAAAATAAAGCGGAATAGAGGAAACTATTAAGAAGAAACATATGTAAAAAAAAAATTTGTTAAAGAAGGTGTCTCTATGTGAACATGAAGGGCTACACCTCTTACGATAATAAGCGACAAAAGTATCCTCATGTAAACTCAGTCTAAGCAGTGATAGTTTTACAAGTTCTTGAATCGATTTATTTTTCAATATCGATAAATTTCTTACATATTTATATAAAGCCCATTATTGCTTATTGTAGTCGATTGTTTCAATTTCAATACTTCGGAAGTATTATTATGAAGGGCATTGTTTTGATATTGGGAAGATGTATCCTAATTTTAGTGTCGCTGAATTTGGTTAACCATACTATCGCATTTTATTTGCCTGGTTTAGCTCCGGTGAATTACTGCAAAAAGTCGGATATGTCTGGCTCTTGCAAGGTAATTGATATATTGTTTAAATATTTACATATGTATGTAGGTATGTATAATTCAATTGCGTGTACTTTTTTGACTACATGTTCGATATCCAGATGTAAGCAATTGCTGACAGGGAATACTTCTTGGTGTTTTATGCATTGCCCCGACTTAATAAAGTTCTTTTTTTATATCCCACATCCTATTACACATAGGCTTATGATTTTAAAAAGTGAAACATAGATTTGAAATTAAATCTTTGGTGGGTTGTTTTTCAGGGTAGATAATAAATAGGTAGTCCCCAACTTTGGTATACGTATACATTTAAGCAATCTGAAATATATATTTTAAAAATTATGTAGTCGGATTGTATTATTTTTGCCTACCAAACTATTTTATGTTTTTTAAGTAATTCAGCACATTCGTTTGAGTTTGCTTACGTTTAGTTTCGTTGACTGTACAATTGACGAAAAACAATGCAGTAAAATTATTTTTGTAGAACACATCATTTTGAAATTTGTGCTTCACAATCCCTTAATTATTTTTGTTCCGGGAACTCCTTACATTTATGATGAGAGCCTACAAAGATTGAAAATCGAATGCATCTCATATCAAAGGCTTTTAAAACTAAGCCTCAATATATATAAAAACATTTTTTTTTATTAGTTTATATACTAGCTGATATCTTAATTATTTGAAGATCGGCTAACTTAATGTATTTATTATTCTTTTTTTATAGTCAGAAATAACTCTTTACGTGAATCGCTTGAACACAGAGGAATCTGTAATACCGTATGAGTACCATCATTTTGATTTTTGTACTGGAAACGAGCTCAACTCTCCAGTCGAAAATTTGGGGCAAGTGGTATTTGGAGAACGAATTCGACCGGGTCCATACCACATTGAATTCTTAAAAGATGTTAAATGTGACGTGGTAAGTATCTTGAAGTATTAAAAATTTTATAAAAATATCCAGTAATATGGAGCTTTTTTTTGTAATGTTTACGTCTCTATATTTCTTTGTAGGTAAATCTTCCTTGGTATGCTTTGAGTTTTTTTTCTAATTAGTTATATATGACTCATTCTGATCTCCTTCGCAATATTTTTGTTTAAGAGGTGTAAAAGAGAGTACAATAATACCTTTGGACAGCAATGTATGCTGTAGAAGTTATTTGGATTTGTAATTTTTAAGCGATACCAGAATTTTTAAATTAGTAAAGTAAAATTTACGATTTTACTTTATAAAGATAAAGTTTAAATGCTTGAAGTCTATAACATAGATCATAAAACCTGTGTCATACGTTTAGTTTACGTATTGGCTAATTTTATAACAGAAAGGGTTTCAGAATATATAATTTTAAAATTAGGATTGGAATTTACACGGTAAATTGTAGGACACTAATTTTAAATAGAAGTACATTTTGCCAAACCATTTTCACGTTTTTGTTTTTAATTTCAGGTTTGTACAAAGAATTATACTGGGGAAGATCCCGAAAGTGATCGACGAATTATGATATTAAAGAAAGGAATTAGTCTAAATTATCAACATCACTGGATTGTAGATAACATGCCGGTTACTTGGTGTTATCCATTAGACAATGATAAGCAATATTGCAGCACAGGATTTCCGATGGGCTGTTTTGTCCGATCGGACAGTGATGAAGCGTGTCTTGTTAATTCTAATTACAATCGTCGAGGATTTTATTACATATTTAATCACGTAGACCTTCATATCACATACCACAGCGGACATTCTGAAGGAAGCGTTGGCTTCCACGGCAACGACGGTCGTATAATTTCAGTGAAAGTTACACCACGATCCATCAATCACCTAAATCCTTCGAAAGTTGATTGTGATAATACTGATCCACTTGCTGTGAAGAGCAATTCGCCAATTCGCGGAGAGCACCTCTCAGTTACTTATACATACCGTGTTTCATTTAAAATGGATAATTCAGTAAAATGGTCGTCACGATGGGACTACATATTAGAATCAATGCCACACACCAATATTCAATGGTTTTCAATTCTTAATTCTCTCATCATAGTACTTTTTTTGTCGGGTATGGTAGCAATGATAATGCTCAGAACTCTACATAAAGATATTGCTCGGTATAATCAAATGGACAGCGGGGAAGACGCACAAGAGGAATTTGGTTGGAAATTGGTACATGGAGATGTATTTAGGCCTCCGCGCAGAGGCATGCTTTTATCGATATTTCTAGGCTCTGGAGTGCAAGTAACATTCATGGCATTAATCACATTGGCATTCGCGTGTCTGGGATTTCTTTCTCCAGCCAATCGAGGTGCATTAATGACTTGTTCAATGGTTTTATTTGTTTCACTTGGCACACCAGCGGGCTATGTATCATCACGCATTTATAAGAGCTTTGGAGGTGTTAAATGGAAGAGCAATGTAATTCTTACATCTACTGTATGCCCTGGGTATGTCAATTGAACATTCAAAAAACGGCACCTTATTTTGTTTCTTTATTAGAATTGTGTTTGGACTTTTTTTCGTGATGAATTTAGTGCTTTGGCATGAAAGCAGTTCAGGAGCAGTCCCATTTAGTACGCTCATTGCGTTACTTGGATTATGGTTTGGAGTATCAGTGCCACTAACTTTTGTCGGAGCTTACTTAGGATTCCGAAAACGAGTAATATTTTTGTTGTATTTTTCATCGTATTCCTATTACCCGAATACGGGTAATATTTTTGTTTTTTTTTTTCATCGTATTTCTACTATTTACAATTTTATACTACATTTATTTCTGTTTCATTATTTAATATTTATGTCATTTACAAATCTTCTAGGCCTTGGAACATCCTGTACGAACTAATCAAATTCCTCGGCAGATTCCAGATCAATCGATTTATACGCAACCAATACCAGGAATCATTATGGGAGGCGTTTTACCTTTTGGATGCATATTTATTCAACTATTTTTCATTCTTAGTTCCATTTGGTCCAATCAAATGTATTATATGTTTGGATTTTTATTTCTTGTTTTTCTGATATTGATTATAACGTGCTCGGAAACTACCGTTCTGCTGTGCTATTTTCATCTTTGCGCAGAGGATTACCACTGGTGGTGGCGATCGTTTTTAACATCCGGGTTCACAGCAGTATATCTTTTTATCTACTGCTGTCATTACTTCTTTACTAAGTTATCTATTAAAGATGGAGCGTCAATGTTTTTATATTTTGGTTACACTTGTATTATGGTATTCCTGTTCTTTTTGCTTACGGGAACGATAGGATTTATGGCATGCTTCTTTTTCATACGTAAGATTTATAGTGTAGTTAAAGTTGACTAAATATTACCTGCTGCACCCACAAAAAAGCAATGTAAATTTTTAATTTTAAGAATTAGCAACTCAAATTTGTATGTGGCTCTAAGTAGGTGCACTGTATATTTTTATCTTAAAAACAAAACGGATATGATGCAATTTATCTCAATGTTTTGTTTTAAATAAAATATCAATAAATTTAATTTCTTGAAAAGTATTTTATTAGTTATTGCTAATTACCTCGAAAGCCAATTTTAAGAATTAGTTTGATATCATCGTTGTTTTAAAAAGGACTTTAGAGATAGCGAAACAACTGCCAAACATCTTTAGGATAACAAAATAATGTTTGACTGATAAACAGAAAAAGGATCTTCCAATTAAGTATTTGCAAACTAGCCCAAGCTTTTTACGCAAAGATATTGGCTGGTATTGGTCTGGCGTATATTATTTTCCATTCACCATATTTTGTATATCGAATAATGTTGATTTTGCACATAATTGGGTGTCAAATACCAATGAAGAGCCGTGGAAACATAGTGTAATGTTTCTATAATGCTCGATACATTCATTATTCAAGTAATAACATTATCGATAAAACTATGTTGAAATGAACTTTGATTTTAAATAAACTTTTGTTCGTCTAAAAATCTACGTTGATTTCTTACAGAAGATGCCTCTCAAGGACCTTATGGTAATAGAGTTCGTTGGGCTTGCTCCGGGGCCGCTATGTGGAAAAATTCTTGCTGATTTCGGTGCATCTGTTTTAAGAGTTGATAAGGTAAGGAAGTTTGGAAGTACAAGAAAAGAATTACTAACCGCGGAAAACTCATAACAACAAAAGTCGCCTTTAACTTTATGGAAATTGAAGTCGTGTATTCCGGGCTCACTGTCTTCATGGTATTAAAATGAGGACAAGCTTCCTTTTCTGCCGCAGCGCTTGTCCAACGTTTAATCAGCAACTAATTACTGTAAAAATATTAATAATTAAGTGGTATTTTCTTCCAAACCTTAGGAAAGACATGTTTTGCATCACCAATTTACAAAACTTTAAGCTAAGGGAACTGACGAATCGAGTTTTCACCTCACGTACAAAACTTATAAATTAGTGCATCATATACCCAAACCCATGTACATAACACTGAGTCGGATACAGTCAAAACTCATACGTTCAGCAGAAGCAAATATCAGTTGACGAAGTCCAAGTGACGAGTAGCATGAAAATGTGCTCCGTGAAATTTTGTGGCGATTATTAATTTAGTACGAGATTAAAGGAAGAAAAAAACAATCATTTCCCCAGTTTGCTTAAATTGAATTTTCGTTATCATTCAATGTAAGTGTCCACGTTTTCTATCAAACTTTAGTAGAAAATTCCAGTGCTAAAATAATATATATAATATATATAATTGGCGCTTTGTAACCGCTGAAGCGATTTTCATACGAGCTCCTTTTCCAATTTGTGGTTTTGCGTCTTGATGTTTTTCCAACAATTGGAGGGAACTACAGTTTATACTAAGCCGCATCCTATCAATATCGCGTCAGGAATACATTCGGTGAGATTGACGTTCCCACCGAGGAGTAACCTCAATTAGAAAATTTCGATTAACTTTTTTCCTTAAATAAATTTTCTATAACTTTTGGATGTTGGTCGTACCAGGATTTTAACCCTGGCTTTCCGAGTGGCAGTACGCTATGCTAAACACTCGGCCACCGCAGCCGCTATATTTTCCTCATACGCTTATTAGGAAACGTTTTCTAAACTAATTATTTAAAAAAATGTCGGTCATAGTGTGTATGCATACCTTACGATAATGTTATTACAAAATTTACTTTGGTATTAAAATTTACCATTCAGTAAATTTTGTTACTATTTCGTATTCAAGGTCACTGTCACCCTGTACATTTTGTTACCAGCGAAATAGGAGGTAACATAAATATCTGCTGTTTGATTTTGTGTTAAAAGTTTGAGAAAAAATAAAAAACCAAAATTGGTAGGCAAATTTAATTTGTAAGATAAAGTTTTCATTCAGCTTTTTTGTTGTCCAGGCATTATTTCCATAATTAGGTTCAAATATTTATGATTTAATAAACAAATTAACAAAACTTTTCCATTTCGATGTGAATATTTTTCTTTTGTAATTCGTAATTTGACATGGACGAAAAAAGCAGTGCTGCCAAATTTTTTTCAAACATTGTAACCAGCTCGCTAGAATACCAAATTCAATTTCGGGTGTTCAAGAAAAGTAACAAAATTTACTTTACCGGTAACAGTGAGAATAGGCCTGTAAATGGAGATTTTCAAGAATGAACATATACAACTCCAACCAGTATTTCAGTTATATGCCCTTTATGAACAGAGCTGCTGTCATTGAAAACCATTTATTATTTATATGTACTTTCTTCTAATTATTGGTATTGGTATATTTCAATATATTTCAATATTTTTGCCATTAATTTTCCTTTAAAAGGCTCCCAATCATTTGAGCGAACATATGTCAGGAATGCATGGTGCCATATCCCTTTAGCTCATAAAATGATTTTCCCATTACTTTCTTAAAGCCGAAATGACAAACGTTATGTTTACATTTGTATATGTGTACTTTTTTCTCTCTTAGTTTCCTTGTGTATTTACGTCATTCTTGTCGGACAAACAGAACACAGCTGAGCGACAGCGGTGTTGTACAAGCCAAAGGCAAATGAGCGACAGCATTACTGCCGAAGTAAATCACCTTAGACAAAAAATTTCCCTATATACACATACAAATTATTAGGATTCAGTCTTTATTCCAATATTTTTACATATATCAGTTATATGGTTTATATAGCACAGAAAAGAAATAACAATACAAAAATAAATTCGTATTCAAAAAACAGCAAAATATTATAAGCAAAACCATATATGCTGAAGTCTTTAATAGTATCATGCGTTGGTGATGCAGGTCCTCAGCTCCACGAACGCGTCCGTCATAACCGCGACTCATTTTAAATATAAAGACGTCTAAGTAAAATAAAAAATTAATATTCGAATCAGAATATGCAGTTGTACCTCGTAAAGTTTGTTTGATTCTTTTTTAAATGTGCTGATGCTGCAAGGTGAGAAGCATCTATTCCAAGCAGAACTTTCCGTACAATATTAGGAACCCTTAAATAAAAAAAAAAATGTAAAAAGTAATGAAAAATTAAGTGGTTAATCAAACGACAATATGTTATTACAACAGCTTGTAGAGCATTCTTATCCATATTTCCCACAGCTGTCTGATATGAAATAATGATAAAAATGGCGTTCTGCAATCTCTTTCAATTTGTATGTATTCAGAAGAGAAAGATAAACAAAAAAATTTGCTTATGTGCTAGTGCTGCTCGAAATCGTGAGAGTGTATTGGTGAACCCATTAGCCCGTTCTTGCAGGAAATATTAATAAATGCTAAACCCTTTTTTTCAACATTTGTGTGTGTCCTCTACGTTGAATAACTGACCTATTGTAATATTTCGTTTAATTTCAGGTTTGGGAGAACAGTTTAGATGTTTTACAAGACGGAAAAAGTACTGTAGTTATTAATCTAAAGGATTGTGAAGGTCGTGAAATGGCACGAAAACTTGTTCTAGCTCACGACGTTTTAATTGATCCGTTTCGTCCTGGAGTGATGGAAAGTATTGGATTGGGTCCAAATACCTTGTGTAAGCAAAATCCTAGGCTAATATACGCACGATTAACTGGTTTTGGACAAAAAGGACCCTTATGTAATCGAGCTGGGCATGATATTAACTACGTTGCTATTTCTGGGGTGCTATCGATGCTACGTTCACGAAATAATAGACCAACTCCGCCACTAAATATCTTAGCAGACTTTGCTGGTGGAGGTTTACTATGTGTTTTAGGAATTTGTCTAGCGCTTCTGGAACGCCATCGTTCGGGATTAGGTCAAGTAATTGACTCATCAATGTGTGAAGGCATAGCCTACCTATCTTCATGGCTATTTATTTCCCGTACACTTCCTATATGGAGTAACCCCCCTGGTCAAAACATGCTAGATGGCGGAGCGTACTATTATGATTTATACAAAACAAAGGACGGTAAATACATGTCTGTTGGAGCCTTAGAACCGAAGTTTTTTGATATTTTTAAAGAAAAAATCGGATTACCGGAACTGACTCAGTTTCCCAATAATGAGTATGATAAATTGGTTTTTAAGGATAAAGTTGGGAAAACTTTTTTGGAAAAAACTCAAAAAGAATGGTCGTTAATTTTCGATAACTGCGACGCATGCGTATTTCCTGTTTTGGAATGGGAAGAAGTAGCTGAATACGGACATAATAAATTTCGTCGCAATTTTCATATGTCAAAAAATATACCCGTACCAGTACCTTCCCCCATATTAAGTAGAACGCCAGGTAGTATTAGAAAGGCAGGGAATTATTCAAAAATAGAACACATTTTGAAAAATATGGAACTAAGTACAGAAAATCTTAGCAAATCCAAAATATGAATCCATAAAAAATGTTAGTTTTATTGCTTCATTCGTTTTCAATTAAATAAATTACGGACGAGGTGGCTTTCTATCTTCTTTAACTTATTGATATCTAAAACAATAATACGAATATTAATATTTACGGCATTTATTTATTTTATTGTTTCCCGCAAGCACACAAGAGAATAAAAAAGCAGCTCATATTTATAATAGATTTTTTAGAGAGATCCAAATGATATTCCCAGTCTTTTATCATCTCCCACTTTTCAGCGTTTATTAAAAAATGTGTTCTAGTAACTCAGATTGCTTTATTATGGTGCATGTTTAGATAACCCATAAAAACAGTCTAAACTTTTCCTATTCCTAAATCTAATTGGAAATAATTCTTTATATATAGTATATGTAAATATTAAACATTTTTGTTGTATTAAAGGTTATATAATTAATATCAATGTCCGATAAACTTTTTTTAAATCCAATGAGTTAATTGCATAGTTCCATCAACATTTCTTTGAGTGTCCATAACACTCATTTGGCGTACCAACCGTTTTATAGAGTTCCCTTCCGGGTCCCGTTTATTGGTTTTGAGTTTCTGCGGCTCTTTATTGCGGCCATCGCTGGAGGCAAGAAGATCCAAGTTCTCATATGATTCCGATTCAGTTTTTACTTTTCTGAAATTATAATTTTTATTTATAATTACCTATTTCCCTTTTTCTTATTATGTATTAAATAGTACACGCATACCAAAAATATAAAAAAATTTTTAATTTTTAAAAGAAAATTTGATATAATTAATTAAATTTAAACCCTGCTTCATGAAATAAACATGTTTTTATAAAACAATTTAAAATAGAAATTTTAAAACCGATCTTTCATTAAATAAATTAATCTTGGTGAAATTATATACACGTATATGTATATGTTGTATTTCTCTAATATATTATGTGGCGGCCGCGGTAGCCGAGTAGTTAGTATTGCGTACTGCAATTCGGAAGGCTCGGCTTCAAATCCTGGTGTCGTATTAAATCCAAAAGTTATAGAAAATTAATTTAAATAAAAAATTAAGCCAAATTTTCTAATTGCAGTTGCCCCGAGTGTATTTCTGACATTAAATAAAGCCCGTCATAAGAAAACCATCAGCCGTTCGGAGACGGTTTAGTAGCTTCAATGGTTACAAACCAATTATATACATTTACATATACATATAATATATATTCTGCGAAAAATTATTTATTTTTTAAATGTGCCTTGTAAAGGATAACGCAGTGACATCTTATCGAATTTAAGATAAGATCAAAAAAATGAATTTTTCGAACATATTTTTTGTGCTCGCCTCGAACTTGAGGAAATCATTTATTAGGAAAAGATTACTCTCCTACCATTTCGTATTTGTTGATTTATTGCCATGAAGTAACGTCTCGTTAATTCCATCAGAGAAAACGAGGTCGTCTCATGGTGTTTGTATAATTTAGTACCCAACAAATACAATGAAATGAGTAATGGTTATAAAGCAGGTGATATTGACTGCTTTCAAACTACTTGTATGCTACTTGTTTAATTCAATTATAAATAAATCAAAACGTATATTTATTTTTGCGTGATCTAAGATATATATTTCATGTGACCGTCTGTAAGAGTTTACTTAACTGCTTTGAGTAACATTGAATACATTTTTTAAATGACCACTCCTTTCCGAAATTTTCTCCCTCTTCAAGTGTTTGGGGCAATCGTTCATGAAGTGTTTCAGGTAACCTTAAACTTGTAAGCCCCCCTAACATTGATATTACTCCCATTATGACAAGAGGAAGTTTTAAGTTTTCCCTACCCTAAAATTCAAAAGAAGAAATAGTCGTCAGTCATTTTTGGTACATAACAAATTTCTAAGAAGATAGTTTAAGCAAAAAATTACAAAATAATAGTGGTTGTTGTTATTGTTGTGTGGCTAAAAAACACCTTTTCGCCGAAAATAGATAATAATTATTATGGTTTGGGTGTTTAGTAAAGCCCAAAAAATTATTGTATACAGGAAAAGCTCGGTCATAGAATAAAAAACGGGGAGTTTTAACTTTTGATTTTACAAAGGAATATTTTTTTTCATAATACCTTACATAAAAACTATCCAGAACAGATGAACGTACCAAATAAGTCACAAATGGAATGACAATTAACCCGAGCCCTCCAATATAACTTGACGCTCCAATTCCAATGCCTCGAACTTGCGTTGGATACAATTCACCAGCAAAAGGGTAAATTATCAAAAATGAAGCTGAAAGTAGTGCTTTTGATACTAAATATAGTATTAAAGTTTCATCAGTGGCATCATCCGGTATTGTAACGGTGACAACGCAAGCAGCTCCACTACGGATATACAAGTATACGAGTATATGAAGTTATATGAAATAATAGTTTTCTTACCCAAGTATCATTGATAAGCTTAAAGGCCATCGCCTACCAAAAGTATCCATTAAATACCAGCAGCACAAGTAACTCGGCAACTCCACTGCAGCAGATAAAAAGAAGCTTACGTATTGGTCGTTACCCAAAGACGGACCATAGTAGCTCAATCCCAGGTACACTGTCTCATTCGCAAACCAACTTAAGGTTATCAAAATTGTCTTCAGCCTCATATTTGGTGTTCTTTAAAAAATTAATGTTTTTGAAAATGTTCTAAATTTTATTAAAGTGTAAGGAAAGGAGGAGCGGTTAATTCCGAAGCGACCGAAAACTATACATATGTATACCCGATAGTTTCAGTAAGCTTTAGAGAAAAGGGGATAATTGTAGGGACGTTATTTTTCATAGATCATAGGCAGTAACAATTGGTACTGCATTTTACTGGTTTGTGTTTGATGAGGCAAAAAGACAATACCATTTGCACCGAGAGAACGCAATTTTGACATACCTTTACTGGCTAATTCTTACCGATATCGAACATAGCTTTCTAACGCTTTGCAACCGGATATAGGTTTTTATGAAAATCTATTTTCTTGACAGGTTCCTTAATGTGGTAAAATGTCTGAGTGCTTCCTCTAGCTTATGAATTATATCCTTTTTTCATGTTTACTCTAATTACTCACCTTAAAACCAAAAAGGATGAATTACGGTCTTAGGATTTGCTCATCTTCCATTTTCTTCAATATCAATCCCTCAACGTTGTAAATTATTACATTAAGGAAGCAAAAAAAAAAATTATTAAAAACTTATCACAAATGCTTTTACACCATCTAAGGAACTAATTTTTAGTAACAACAAACTACCCAGGGAGTTCAATATTCGGAACAATATTCAAAACAATACCGTTATCATTTGTTTCTTATAGAATTAAATTACGTGTTTTGATACTGTCACCTTTCTATTAAAATAAATTCTAAATTAAATTATTTAATTTAAAATGTTTACTAGGGTATAATTTATATATGCAATTAACATATATTAAGGAATCAACAACCAAACCCTAACCCAAATCAGAAACGAAAAAATTTTGCTTTCTCAGTCTTTTATAAAAAATATGTACCTGAATAAATCGAAAACGCCTACATTTACTGCGTTCTCATTTGAATTCTTGCTTTCAACTATTTTTGCCTCCCAATTGGCTTTTATTTCCTCAGGAAATTTTTGACCATTCACTTTTGCCATATTTTCCAAAATCGCTAGAGCTTCTTGTAATCGGCCCCGCATCAGTAGCCACCGAGGAGACTCAGGCATTACAAAAATATATGCGAAGTACAAATGAAAAGGTGCAGATGTGTAATAAGACAGTTTCACCCAATCACGTTCTAAATAGGTAACCACTGACAGTAACATTATGCCTGAGGTGTAAAATGTGCAAGTCATTACAGTGACGAAAGATCTATAATTTTCACCAACGAGCTCCAAAGCTAAAATACATAAAAATTTATCTTGCAAGCACGACTTTATTATAAAAAAATTTAAGTAATGGAAATGTATGTATGTATGTATGCATGTTGGTACAAAAATTTCTATAGTTCTTTATGCTCCCTCATATTCTTGTGTTATTGAAGCGTCGATTTACCATGGATGTATCTGCAAGAAAACATTGAGCTTGAAACAAACAGCTTTATTTACTCACAGCCCATTGATGCCAACAATGTTATGAATAAATACAAATTTATAAATGTTCCATGTTTAATATGAATTGTACTTTAGTAAGGCGAAATCCATCGGCCTTGTTAAAGGAAACAGCAGAGATTTCAGCAACTGCCTAAAATTATTTATGCCTTATGCTTTATTCTCTAATTAATTTCGTCTTTATATGTAAAGGCTGCTTAGCCTAGCGTCTTATGTTACAGACACAGGTTGAATTGATTTGTAAATATGTATGTAAATAGAATATATTAATAATGATGGACATAAATTGACTAACGTTTCTTTAGAAATATTCCGCGGACAATACTTACAAATAATAAAAGGAATTTGGTACACGGCTGGTATCGTTAAACCAACTATTACTCTGCTTCCCGCCCACGTCCAAAAATTTTTGCTGAGTGATGTTATCAGGCTACCAATAAGTAATGTAGCCAAACATGAAAAATATGACACACGCCTTCCCATTCTATCATTAAGTAGTCCAAAGAGGTAAACCCCGATAGGACCACCAACGTTGAGGGCTGATAAACCAATAGTTGGATATATATCTTTGTCGCATACTAAATCGAACTAAGAATGATAAGAATTTTAGTAGAATATTTTATACACAACAATTTTATATTTTGTAATTTAAATTTTAATTATTGTTAAATATAATTTGACTCTCTTTGAACTATTTCTAGCATTTTCCTGTCTTACTCACGTCAATAACAATGGATGACCACACTACAGATGTGTTGTATTCCCATCCATAGTCGCACTTTTGATAGGGCCATGTTTCATTTGGCTTATCTATATCATAGTAATTAACTTCAAGAATATCAGTCCAGTTTACAGCATAACGGTAACATTTACTATAAGAATCAAGGTTTTCCTAGAAGTGAACAATGTTATAAAAAGATGACGTCATTAAGATTTTTCGGTACAGTATGAATTTTCATGTTAAAAGGGAGATTAAAACTAAGTACAGGAAACAATTTTACTTATTTGTATAAAGTCAGATAATAAATATTTCGCCGAAAGGTAATTTGTTTATTAATAAAATAGAATTAAAAAAGCGAAGGCTAAACGCTCACAACGAATAAACCGATAAAAGTTTTTTGAGACCGGCATCCCTGCAAGAACGGCCTGATGGGCTCACCAATACACTTACACGATTTCGCGCAGCACTAACACATAAGCAAGTTGTTCTATTTATCTTTCTCATCTGGGTACATACAAACTGAAAGAGAATGTAGTTGAACAGATTATGTACTTAATTTTTCATAGCTTTTAACATTTCTTTATTTAAGGGCACTGCATATGGAACGGAAAATTGAGCTAATGGAGCAGATTGACTGGAATGGACGCTTCGCACTTTGCAGCAACAGCAGATTTAAAAATATTCAATAAAACTGTGCGAGATACAACTGCATTTGGATATTCATAACATTCTGATTCGAATCTTCATTTTTTTTATTTTACTCAGGCATCTTTGTACAAAGGATCCGCAATTATGACGTAGGCGTTCGTGGAGCTGAGGACCTGCCTAACCAACGCATGGCGCTAGTTAGGACTTCTGTATATGCGGTTTTGCTTATAATATTTTTTGTATGATTTTTGAAAACGAATTTATTGTTGTATTGTTATTTCTTTTGTAAGCTATGTAAACATGTAGAGGCAGTTTTTGTCGAAGCTGATTTCCTTCGACATCAATGCTATCGCTCATATGTGTTCGGCTTGTACTGCTGCTGTTTTTTACGTCCATATTGTTTTCTTTTGGTATCAATGATGTCGCTCAGGTGTGTTCTGTTTGTCCGAAAAGAATGACAAAAATGCACCAGGAAACGAAGAGAGAATGACGTACACGTATACAAATGTAAACATCACGTTTGTCATTTCGGCCTTAAGAAAGTCATAGGAAAACCGTTCTACGAGCTGACGGTATATATCGTCATATATTCCTGACATATGTTGGCTCAAATGATCGGAAGCTTTCTTGCTGGGTTTTGTTTTCATAATATGCAACTTTTTGTAACTCATGATTTCATATTTTTTCTCACTTCCAATACAAACTAACTCTGAAATATAAATTTAAAAAATTTAATTTTTCAAATTGTAACATCGGGACAAACTTTCATTAGTTTTCATTGAATAGATTTTGAGAAAAGCCATATTTAATAAGCCGCTGCACTTCTTTTCAGTTGAACATTGTGCATAAACAAATTAGCTTTAATCGTGGCTTTATACCAATATTTAAAATAGTAACCTATATTTAGTTTTAGTTTTTCTTCCAACATTTGAGGAATTTGTACTCGTTTACATACAAACATACGAGTACATATATATAAATTTATGTAGTCATTTGCGAGTAAAATTTATAAATTTTATCAAAAAACGATCACAGAAAGGGGGTTTTGAAGCAATGAGACAACAGTGACGAGACTCATTGGCCCTAGGCGACAAGAAATAATCTTCGAAAGTTCAGACGGAAGAATGGTCCGCTACCAAGAATATCGCCTAATTTGTTTAGCGTAATACTTGCAATATTTTTCTTTTCTACTACCATTCGAAAATCCAGTGTTCGACTCTTGGTCCGACAGCCATCCAAAATCAAAAGAAATTGTGACGCCCTCAGAATGTATTTCTGTCTTCAAAAGAAAGCTCTTCTTAAAAATTAATCTTATTCGGAAGTGGCTTATAATAAAGTGTAGGTGCTTCTATTTGTTTAAAAAATATCAAAACGCCTTGGAGCTCGGTCGAAAATATCTTCATAGGTTACAAAATTCCAATTATATATATATATATGTGTGTTATATTTGTAAGCGTGCATATTTGTCCTTACCAGATTCTTTGGAATTGCTAAAAGCTTCCTCTTTTCTACAGACATGTCTAACAAATCTGGTACTTTGCACCAGTAATCATTTGGAACATTCGCCATAAAAATTTGATTGAAAGCACAAAATCCGCAGGGTATACATGCTGGTAAGCATATTCCAAAAACTAGCATCTTTTGATAGATTCCAAACTCGCCTATCGCAGGTAGTAAATCATCAAGATCAAGGGATTCCTAAAACAAACGATACGTAGTAAACACAAAAGTATAAAAAGTAATATTTACATCACGTTTTCCACAATCATTCTGCAAAGTGGCATCTTCGCTAGCTTTTGATGTAATTTCGCAAAACTCGTCCATAACTAAGTTTAAATAAATCCAGTATATTTTGTTTATAAAATTACAAATAAAATTTTCTATGGAGAAGCCCTAAAACTTGCTATTCCGTTGTATTAGGGTATTCAGTGTTTTTAAAATGCATTTTCAGATGTTAAATTGGATTCTACGGACTTTCTGTACATAATGTATCTCCATACAAGTTAACTAGCTCCAAAAGGGTCTTTTAAATATTTGCTTCGCGTGGAAAGTATTACAATATGAGCAAATAGGTAAAAATACTATGCAGTTACAGTTACGTTGAATGCTGGGCGAGGAGTGGAGCCAGCGGGATAGATAGATATTCTGCACCCTGAGCGATGATACCCTGAATAAAGTTGGTGGCTATTGTGGCGAGACGCGATGACTGGATGAAAATTTTATTCGGCGGCCTCGTCGAACCCGAGAAAAGAAGCAAACTATTTTAAATAGCTTTTTACTTTGCACCCTTTGATCGACAAAATGAAACTGTCAAACCCTAAGGCGGAGTTTTTTTTTCTTCAGAGAGGAAGTTCATGGATGTTCGTGGAATTATAAGGAAGGCAAAAGCTTGGAAGTACAACAGCGCTATTCACTGAAAGTCCGCCAAAATCTTTATTAACTCCCTTGATTTCATCGTAGCCGAAGTAGAGCAAGCAGTTACAACAAGAACAACAGGCTATATTCCATTCGTTAAAAGTAAACGCAGTAAATTTTGTTTTATGTTGCTATTGTATTGAAATATAGTGGCCAAGATTTCTAGTTCTGCATAATTGAGCCTTTAGTGTCAATAGTCGATATGTTCAGTCGATAAATTTGCTAAAATGAACTATATTCTAAAACAATTGAGTTGTGTTGGTGGATCTTTTTGGAAATGATTAGATATTCGAGAGATTACTCATTATTATAATAACACAGCCGTATTATTATGCCAAACTTAAAAGATAAATCGCATACCGTTAAAGGAAAATCACAGAAGCAAAGGTCGAAGTCATCTTCTCGTTTTGCAGAGGTCGACGGAAGAAAAACTAATGTTGTTTCAATACCAAATACAATTAAGCTTAGCATGCTCAATAGTGGTCTGCTATCTTTTGAGAAAATAAGATTGGAAGCAAGAGATGAAAATAACTCTTTGTCGAAAACAATACCACAATTTCCGATTAGCAAACCTTATTTCCTTAAATTGTGTGATGTTCGTCGAAAATTTCCTGTACTTTATAAATTGGAGTTTCAAACAGCTACGAGAGTGGAAACGAGCTTGTGTAGGCATGCGTTAAGAAAAAATAATCAAGAAAAGAACCAAAACTCGAAATGCATTCCCTATGATTATAATCGGGTTGTTCTCACAAAGACCTCAGGACTTGTTGATTCTGATTACATCAATGCATCCTACGTTGACAGTCTTTTGAAGCCAAATGCGTATATTGTTACTCAAGGTCCCGTGGAGGAAACTGTAAATGCATTTTGGCAAATGGTTTGGCAGGAAAATATAAGTGCGATAATCATGCTTACTAAAACATTTGATTTCGCCAAGGTTATGTGTGTTCAATATTGGCCACCAAATATGGAAATACATGAAACATATGGCGACATACACATCAATATTGTACGCGAAGAGCAGTTAGCTAACTTTCACATTAGAACTTTTCATTTATATAAAGTTAATGAAGCCAAAGAAGTTATTAAAGAACGACTTATATTACAATTTCATTATACGGAGTGGTATTCACACTCATGTCCATTCTCGAACGCCCTTTTGGAATTTCGGCGACGAGTACGCCTAGTTGTTGGTAACATTATAAAAGGAGATGACATGAAAGGGCCAATGTTGGTTCATTGCAGTGACGGAGGTGGTAGATCAGGCGTTTATTTGTCTATTGATGCTAATCTCGAGTTGGCAGAAGAGGAAGAATGTTTTAATGTCTTCGGATATTTGAAAAAATTACGTCAATCTAGGAAAGGTCTCGTTGAAAATGTGGAACAGTATAAATTTATTTACGATACTCTTGAAGAACACGAAATATGTGGTAAAACCTGGTTTCCCGTATCTGAACTTTCCGATCGATTGAAAGTAAAAGCTCGTAGAAATCCCTTAACAAAAATGAATGAATATCAAATGGAATATGAGCAAATTTGTAAGCAAACGCCCAGATTTTCAATAGGTGACTGTGCGGGAGGACATAGAGCTGACAATCGTGACAAGAATCGTGATGTCTTGTGCGTACCTCCTGATAATTTCAGGCCTTATCTAACTTCATTTCAAGGCAACGCTTTTACTGACTACATTAATTCTGTATTTGTTGATGGATATACTAAGCCGCGAGAATATATAGTAACAGAATGGCCACTAAAGCACACATTAGGTGAGTTTTGGTCTCTTGTATATGATCAGGAATGCTCCGTAGTTGTTGTACTTTGTCAACCACCGCTTAATTCTCAGAATTTTCCCTCGTTTTGGCCGCATAAGTCAAAAATGGAAAAATATGGCCCAGTTTTTTCAGTACACAACGTATCTTCGAAGAGCTACACTAATATAAAACAATGGGAATTTAAGATAAATAAGAAAATTGTTTCATTAACGGAAATGATGGCTGGAGTAAAAGCACCAACAAAAACCGTACAACTGTTTCAACTAACTTGTTGGCCTATGGGACACAAAGTACCCACATCCACTAATTCGCTTGTTTATCTAATGAACATGGTTGAGCTCTGGAGACAAAAAGTCGACTATGGTCCTGTTTGTGTTGTTTCTCCTGATGGTAGGAGTCGTTCCGGTGTATACTGCGCCGCAAACGCTTGCATAGAACAAGTAATTCAACATGAAGAAGTTGACGTCTTTCAAGCAGTAAAAACGGTACGACGACATCGTCCTCAGCTTGTAGAAAATATGACCGAATACAAGTATTGTTACGATTTAGTACTACATTATGTACTTCATTTCTTAAATAAATCAAAGGGGTAAAGATTATATAATTCGTATGTATGTACGTTGGTTAATTGGTTTGATAGTTGTATTATATATATAGAGTAAAACTCGGCCTTTATGTAATTTAAAAATTAACTTATTTATTCACAAATATATATGTGTATCGAAACAAAAATTATATTTTTATTAGTAGAAGTTTTTTAACAATAGGTAAAGAGCAGCTCAAATGGAATAGGCTTTCGATTTAGCTCCTTATTTTATATGAGGAGCACCTCATATTAGTAAAAGACAATTTTTACAGTTCATTGCGCCCTGATAGGACCGCATTTATTTCATTCCACTCTTGTTTTTTTTTAATAATCGGTACTGACAATGTGTCTGTGTAAATTATAAACTTTATAAATGAATGTAAAATATATCCAAGAATCACTCCCATTCGGTTGTTCCAGGAGGCTTTGCTGTCAGATCGTATAGAACCCTCGAGATCCCATCTAATTTAGATATTTCATGAACTATGGTGGTTAAAACCTTTGATAAAAATATATATTGTTAGTTTTCAATGTAATGTTAAAATAATTTATTTATTATTTTTCTATAATCTACAAAATATTGAGCGGGAATTTTTTGGCTAATATCATGTTGGGGTAACAAACATTCTGAGCAGCAGACCTTTCAAGAAGTGTCTTTTAGTAAAGGTTTTATGGAACTATTCTAAAAAATACTAAAATTAGCAAATTGTAATTTTCATAAACAAAGCTAAGCAATATTCTTTGTAATTTATTCAAGTTGAAAAACTTCACATAATATGCGATCCTAAAGATTTAATAGCACTAAATACAAAGTAGATTCAGCTACGAAATATAGAATAAATGCAGTTTTTGGAATGAGTTTAAGGAACAGTTCTACTAAATAAAAATATATACTAAACCATAACAATCAAAACTCTTGGTTTACCTGCGTAGGCAATTGGTTTGAACCAGGAATCACTGGAACGCCCGTCATGAAATCATTTGTTAAAAACGGTCTCAAAACTATTGACCTACAGCACGACGGAGTTCGATTAGTTGGATCTCTATCGAAATGTATGGGAATCAGAACGATCGGCATTTGCGAAATTTTGCGGTGAAGGCCCGTTTGCATTAATATCTGCATTAAATAAAAATGTGAAGGAGCGTTAAAATTTATTTCAAGAATTATTATTTACTTCGTTTGCTATGGCATCTGCCTCCCTTAATTGGTCCAAAACATAACTGTTAAGCGTAGTGTGGGTAATATCAGTAATTTGATATTGAACAAGATCACCAAATATATAACACACACGATTAACATTATGGAGTATACGAGGAATCAGTTTGGCCAAAAATATTAAATCATTCCAACACGGATCTCCACTGCTAGAAAGTCCAACGACATAGCTGTAACTTCTTTTATCTCCTGAAAATATATTATAGTAAAATTATATTTCACCACTCTTATTTATAGTTAGTTACCTTGAACGCCAACCGTGCGCAAAGGCAAAACAGTGGCCTGAATTTTATCACTTGACGAAATGCGTTTCAGTTCCTTTTGTTCCGATTCTGATGTAGAACCAATGACGCGATTAATTAATGCGTGGTTTTTAAGTAGCTTGTTGTGAAAATCTACTATTACTTTAGCTATAACCTATTAAAAACATGTATAAATTTTTTCTATTATATTAAAAAAAGAACCGCACCTGTGTCTCTGAATAATCTTTTTCAATATAAGGTTCTTCAGCACATAGAATTCTTATTGCTAGACCCGGTCCCGGGAATGGTTGCCTTTCAACTAATTCCGTTGGAAGTCCTAGATCTCTACCTAAGTCTCTCACTTCATCCTTGTGAAAGTCACTTAATGGCTCAACTACACGGCCAGCGTTTCGTAATTGCCTTGAATATGTATTAAACAGTATTTAGAAGAGGCGATCAGTAATGATCATTATTGCAAACCTTATTAGTTCTGTATCATTATGATGTGTTTTGATAGTCTGCGCGGTCTGACTAATTGAGTTGGATGCAGATTCAATCAAGTCTGGTCGAAGGGTTCCTTGAGCAAGCAATACCTCCTCGGGTTTCAACTTCATTTCCGCTACTATGTCGTTCGTTATTTTTACAAAAACATCTCCGATAATTTTACGTTTTTCCTCTGGATTAAATGTTTGAAACAACATAGGAGTTTCCACAACAGAAAACTGTCCCGGACGTTTGATTTGCGTTGTACCTTTTAAAAATCGGTAGGCCTCTTTCTTTACTACAAGATTAATACCAATCTCCCGCAGAGATTTTTCAACTTTCTCACTTTCACCCTTGCGCATGAATCCTTAATGAAATAAAATCAGATATTTTATTAAAACACTTTAGGAAAATCATACCATTATCAATATGGACAGCAATAATTTGATTTGGATTTAAAGCGTGCCGGAGCAAAGCTGCACAGACAGTTGAATCAACTCCTCCGCTAACAAGCAACTGCAAATACTCCATTTAATAAATATTTTGAAACTATTTATAAAGAATCTTTTAACAAACATACATATGTGAATTGAGAAAAACGGCAGAAACCCCTTTAATTATTATTTACTAAAAATAAGTCTTACCAAAACTCTATTGGGTCCAACTTTGTCCTTGATATATTTGATACATTCATCTCTGCGGTTTCCTAGTGTAAAATTGGGTGTAGCTTCACAAATGTCGAATAAAAAATTTGAGAACATTTGCTTCCCATTTGTAGTAAGATCCACCTAAATTATTTAAAAATCCATAGTTATCAAAAATATAATACACATTTACATAAATTGCATGTTTCAATGATGAGCAATTGTGGTATCAAATAAGGTGTATTCGCCTATTTTGTCTTATTTAATATTATATTTTTTTTTTTCAATAACTGATTGCAGTAGACAGCTATATTTTGAAGTTTTATACATAAATAAAAAAATGCAAAGCATGTAGAAACTTATTTTTAACTAGTTTGTCAAATTAAAAACATAAAAAAAATATATTCATCGATCAAGAAACAGTCGAATTTAGATACACTGATTCACCTCCTTTATTTATTGAATTATGCTGGTCAACGGATATTTAGAACACGTATAAATTAGACTTACTTCTGGATGAAACTGCACCCCATATATGCGCAAAGTTTCGTTATAAATTGCCGTTACAATTCGGTTTGAAGACCAACCTCCCACTTTTAATTTATCTCCAACTCGTTCTACACTATCCCCATGAGTAAGTAGTACAGACTGTGTGCGACTGAGGCGGCTGAAATTAAAAAGTTGTAAAGCAATTTTATATGAATTATTACATATAATAAACGTTAAATTATATGAAGTTGAATTTGAATCTACCCATGTTGAGTGCTGAGTTGGGCCTCGTTCTTTATGTTCAAATTGGAAATACTACGGACAACAAGCGGCATGTAAAGCAAAATTTAAACCTAGAAATGATACCCATTTTTAGGGCAATTTTTCTCTCGCTAATCTGTAATTCCAAGCAGCTAAATACGCTCTGCCTAAAACATAAGGACTGTTATATGCCTGAAACTGGAGGATCCGTAAAACTCTTACTATGTGTAAACTGATGATAAACTGAAAAAATTTCGCCACATTTCAAAAATTTACACTCAATTCTAAAGCATACATCGGAGTATACTGTGCGCTATCGTGGCGCGTAACACGTTGGTAGAGAAAAAGTACAAGAGAGTTATGTTTTCCCTTTTAATGAAGTTTTGAGATGTAGAAGTGCCAAATTATCGAATATTTCCCGAATTCAGTTGAAAACATAAACTTACTTGAATAAGGGACATCCTGTCTCTATTTCGATGTTTTCCTGTCCATCTTCACGCACATTTTTTTTGTGAACGGTGCCACCGAATTCTTTGTTTATGAGTTGCATTCCATAACAAATACCCAATACAGGAATTTTAATTTTAAATATATCTGGGTCATAATTAGGTGCATCGTCAGCATATACCGAGTTTGGTCCACCGGAAATTATAATACCCCTATATCCGTTTGTTTTCAACACAATGGCTGGAGTGTCTAACGGCAAAATTTCCGATTCCACAAGTAATTCTCGAACTTTTCGATCTATCACCTGTAAAGAATGTATAATTAACACAAATTTCGATTAACTTGACATTTTACCTTTCCATATTGTGCACCTGCATCCAAAATTGCTACTTTATCGTGGCGCATCCCGTTCTCAGATGACAAAAATTTACTGGTTACGCTCATGTTTAACAGTTTCGACACTGAAAAAAGTATATGGTAATTGCTTTAATTAAAAAAAAATCTCCATTTTTTGATGTTCCTTAGCGTGTATACAATTTTTCTTAAGCTGATCAACTGACCACCGCTCCTAAGGGTTAGGGGTCAAAAATTCATCAGCGATAAGGTACACCTATCATAACAGGCGACTGAAATCGGGTAGCTTCTGCGCTTTTCTCTTACAACAAATAGAACATCGCATGGTTTTAATTTCTTGAGCAATCCTCATTCCATCAAAACATACAAATCCACCATGATAAACCTCATGCAAAAAAGGTGACAGTGAGCAAATTTGTATTATAAAAAAAATGCAAAGGAAGATATATATTGGACGGTTACACAGCTCCAACAAATCAGCTGACATGCTCTGTGGTGCATTACACTTTATATAAATACAAGCCTTTGGATTTTAGATATATTCCGACATTAATATCTATAAAAATTTATGTATGTACGCATGACAATGGAATGACACCGCTAACGCAGCGTTTTCTTAAAATAAGGAAATTCCTGAATTTATCTTGTTATATAAACACAAGTCTTTAGATTATACCTTACAGCTTCAAAAATAAACACTTCTAAACGATTCGAATCCTCACGCATCAAATGTATGAGTTATTTTCTCAAGCGTTTGAAAAATCCACAAATAAAAATTGCTATTTGTAATCGATAAATAATAGATCTGCGCCTACAACAACGATAAGCTACAAGCAATAACGACTTCATTGTCTGAATTAGGCAATTTTATTGAAGATTCCTAAGTCCAGAGTTAAGAATCAATTCTTGAATTCAAACTTGTGTATTTTTATCACTAACATTTAAAATGAAAATTAATTTCATTCGGTGATCGCGCCTCGTCAGACCCGAAGAGGTGCGCGAGCTCTTTTAGCCGACTCTTTACACTGCATCCTTCGGTAGACGAAACGAAGCGACGTGTATCCCGCCGTATGCGCAAACTGCCAAACACCAGCGCGGCGCTTGATTTCTCCAAGGAGCCAAGGAGGAGTTTCAGAGGGTCATCGGGAAGGCGAAAGCCTCCAAATTCGTCGGCCCCAACGGAATAAACATGCTGATGCTCAAACATTTCGGACCAGCGAGAGCAGAATTTCTCACGTAGGTCCTCAATTTTTCTTTGACCATCCTATTAAGCGGGGTTAGCGAACAGCTACAACAACAACATTATGTTTTGAATTTGAAAGTTGCCAAAATATTAGGAAAGTTTTTTCTTATATATACGAATGATATGTTTTCAGTATCTTGATACGCTATTTACACATTTTCTCTTGTTGAAATCCTTAACAACAAATTATTTACAAAAAATTAAAATAATCTACAGAAATTCCAATGGATATTGTTACGCCATTCAGGTAGAAAGAGTAAGCACTTATTTTGTGCGTCGTTTAAACATAGCTTAAGATACTATCATTCTTTTCTTAAGGTATCGATAATTTTCTTACATTCGCAATATCAAAATATATAAATAAATGCATATTTCAGAACCATTTTTTTATTAAATTAATATAATAGTTGTAAACAATGAGTGTCCGCGAATGGAGAAGCTGTGAATTTTATGAAATGTCATTGCTTTCCAACTTCTGCAAAATTGACATAAGCTCGACGATAGTAGCCCACTGCACATTTGGTAATGTGTATGTGTTCTGCGAGGTCTCAGGAATAATACATGTTTGTTTCAGAAATTCCTGGATTGTAAACTTTCGCTACCAATGTAGTAATGTGCGATATTCCGCCTTGACAAACGATGGTGATTTGCTTGTGCTTGTGTCGCAAGACGATTCTTCATATAGAATACGTGTAGATGTTTTAAATATTGCCAGTGTCATTAAGGGTGAAGGAGTTCACTGTATCGCATCCGCCGAAATTGACACTTTTGGAATTATAACAACACTTCGAACTTGTGTGTTAAATGAGCGTGTACTTTGCATAACGATTGGATTAGATAATGGGGATATACTATTTCACCAATCTGTTATAAATTCGTATATGTCACTAAATTTTTGTGTTATTTCTAATGAGAAAAGTCGTATTATAGGTACTGAATTTCAACAAAAACTTGATGTACTTTACCTATTTGTCTGCTCAGAAGAAAGTGTTGTGTTGTATACTGTTAAAGATAACAGTTTCATTAATAAGGAACAGATTTTGGAGTCATCCGGAACTAATATTAGTTGCTGCTCGATTCTTCATGATACCGAAACTTCATTTTTCCTAGTTGGCCGAGAGGATGCACTTTATTGTTTCACCATAGATGGAAGAGGACCATGTTACGCCATAAGCGGAAAGAAGAAATTAATTGCTTGTTTAAAACAGAATATTGTTATTTTAATGGAAACAGAGGAGAAGCGAGAAAGTTACATTATTATAATAGATATCTACAACAAATCAATTGTTTTCCAAAAAAGGATTGGTTTCTTAAATAATAAAATGTTAGTGACTAATGATGTATGCTGCTACATATTGAAGGACAATGTTATTTATATAACTCAGGAGCGAAGTATCCATAGCAAATTACAGATATTGATGAACAGTAATCTCTACGGGCTTGGCTTAAATATTCTTGGCAAGAGCAGAAGCAAACTTGAAAGCAGTTTATATTTATGCTTTGGGGACTATCTTATTTATAAAGGTGACTTCATTTCTGCGATGGCGAAGTATAAGAAATCTGCGGAATTAATAGATATTTATTTAATTATAAAAAGACTTTTAGATTCGAAATATATCAATCACTTGGCGCATTATATAAATTATTTAGAAGATAAAGCATCAGTAACAGAAAAAGATCTTTTATTAAATTGTAATAAAAGAATTTACTTAAGTTTTAAGAGCAATAAGCCTCAAAATCAAATCCGTTATGAAAACACATTATCCCAAACGTCTTTAAGTATTTTCAATAGTTCTAATGTATTGCAATTGAAAAACTTAAACGACAGTGATTTATATGACCGTATTGTAAAAAATAGTCCCAAGACAATTTCAATGTATTGGGAACAGTTTTTCATGGTACTCAAAACGGTTAAAAATCCGTCACTGTATATATCTCTTGTACTGTGCTCGCAGGAAAATTGTAATGAATTCTTAGAATATCTTTTTTCATCTCCTAATGAACATATGAAAGTTTTGGAAATTCTATTGGAATTACAACTAATTGAATGGCACCAGGGGGAGAAAAACACAACAAAGATACTTAACTATTTAGAAAATTATAGTACTGGTTATTCGGACCAACTTTTTATTTCTTTTATTAACTATTCCTTTTGGCCAGGCATTATTTTTTTGCATGATAATTATAAGATCTTACAAATGAGACTGAAATATTTTATTAAGTGCTGTGACTTGGACATTCCCGAGGAGTTAAATAAAACTAGTTATAATATGAATCAAAACTTAACGTTACAAGCCATAGAAATTATGAAGAGCAGTTCACAAATCGCGACGGATCTTTCAGACAGGATAACTAAACAAGTACTTCAGCAAAGAAGTCTATCCAGACTGGAAGTTGCTCAGGGAATATCTATACGAAATACTTTTAAAATGGCGCAAATAAAACAATTGTTTAACGAAAAAAACCCGCAATCCGTGATTAAATGCAATAATGTCATAAAAGATATGAATACTTGTTTGCAATCCTATCAGGCTTACTTATCAAGTTTCACATTGTGCCCAATAGAATTCAGAAAAAATATTTGTATTATTTGTAAATGTAAATTAAGCCTGCCATCAATTTATTTTTTGTGCCAACATGCTTTTCATGTAGAATGTGTGGAGCAAAGCTTGAAAGAAAATATTTGTCCATTGTGTGTAACGAAAGAAACAATTCCTAAAAGCACGTCAACACAAGTGTCTGACCAAATCAAGTGGAACACCCCTCAAACTTTGAAAATAATTTCAATGCTGATTTCAAGAAACTTCCTAACAGAAACCAGTTAGGTAAAAAATGTAGAGCATAAGAGTGATATGTCCCTAAAATAAAAAAGTATTTTGCAAAATCTAGCGATTTTTTATGTAAATAAAAATAATTACATGTATGTTAAAACGAAAAATAAAGCCCTTCTATATAACAAAAGATTGTTTGAAATTTTCAGAATTATTCCTATTCATTTACAAAGTTAGTATAAATCACCACAATCAAAAACGGTATGAATAAAGTTATGACAACAAAGAATATCATAAAGATTTTGCTTATAGGGGTCTGGACAAGATTTTATTAGATATGGCACAAATGCGAAGCAATCAAAATATAATTCTTCTTAACCATGGTGTGAATAATCCGAACAAATTTCAAAACAAATATAAAAAAACGTGTGCTATTGGCTTTAAGATATTTTGGCTAGGAAATAGCCGGCAAGTTTGATATCAAAGGAGAGGGCCACCTAAGAGAATAATTATATATAATTAATTTCTATTGTATAACAATTATTTAATGTTTGTTTAAGGTATTCACCTTTCGTGTCATGCCAATTTTTTGTTACGATAGTTTTCCCTAAATATTAGTAAAAGTTAAATAATTGGTAGAAACAAATACATTTATTAAATATATTAATTTATGACTTTAAGATATTGAGGCTCTCAAGAGTTGGGGGCACCAGAATCTGGATTTGAATTGAATCCATCGTTGGAACTCCCTTCTTCTTGGGCTGAAGCCATCTGGCTCGCAAATGATTGGAAAAGTTGTAACACATTCCCTGGAATTACTGGAGTTCCATTAGCTTCGCCACTATTTACTGTTGCACCAGAGAAAAGTTGATTAACAGCACTTATAACGGCTGGGTTTTGAGATAATGTTTGTAATTGCTCCAAATCGATGTCGGTATTGTTAAAAATATTTCTTATTGCTGGAGTGGACAGCATAGTATTAAGTCCATCAGTTATATGAGGAAGAGAATGTCGTGATTGAGCTGCATCACGAGCTACTTCCAAATTATTGCGATAGTCTCGATTGTCTGGCTCTAGCTCAATGGCTTTTTCATAAGCTTGTTGAGCTTCAGAGAATTTATTCAAATTCGAGTATGCTATGCCAAGTCTTCCATAAGCTTTACTATACGTAGGTTTATATAATAACGCCGTTTTACAGTCTGTAATAGCATTTTCATTATGGTTTAGACGAATGTGAGCTGCAGCACGGTTACAGTAATAAATCGGGTTTTTGGGGTCAAACGATATAGCTCGATTATACTGTAATAAAGCCTCATTATATTTTCCATCCTTCATTAGACGATTGCCCTCATTTTTAAAAGATTCGGCCAATCGAGATACTTCCGGGCTTCGTTCAATGAACAAACTCTCAAATATTTCATACAAATCAAATTTTTCATCTTTTTTGTCTTTATTGGCTTCAGGTAAACACGCTGCTTCCCCAATTGTTTCATCGGATATATCAAATGCTGCTTGGAGGCATTGAATTGAAACGTCAACACTCTCTTTACAATCTGCAGACATATGCTGAGATGTAGATGGACGTTTTAAAAAGCTGATAAACGATTGCACGAATTCCTTCTGAACCTCATCAGCCATATTAGAAAATATATTTTACAACTAAAATTCTTCAAGAGTTAACTTTTAGGTGATAAGTGTTTCCTAAATTTCTAAGGATGACGATAATATCGAATCGATATGAAATTTTAAGCCAGTACATCATTCAAAGAAGTTGCACAAGCTGGAAATTGTGATATAAATGTTGTTACAATTAGGCTGTGTGCCAAACGGTAACTCTTTTTCATATGGTAAAATAATGTGGGAAAAATTTACTATGGTGTGAAAAATTTTACACTTTGCTGTGCCAAATGAATTTGTAAGTTTGATAATAAGCAAAATAAAACGTCGTGCGGACGTCGCATATATTTTTTGCAAATTGGTAAAAAATTAATAGAATGCAAAGAATATACCTTTCGTTGTTATGCTCTTCATAGCATTTATTCAAACAATCAAAATTTAAGATTCTGTCGCTTGTACTCACGAAAAATGCCAGAATTTCAAAGTTGGCTGTCAAAATTGGCAGGGCCATCCCCAAATTACCCGCTAAGCTTTAATTATATAGTTTTTATTATTAGTTATATTAATTTCATTGTTTGTAATACTTCTGGTCTATATATAGGTTTTATAGGGTCGTTACTTGGAGGTGCTATAATGCCAATTTGCGTGCAGTCAATTGCACCAATATCGCCTTTTATTCCAAACTTCGAAAAAAATTTGCAAATATTTTTATTAAAAGTTTAATTAACTGTTATAAAAAGGTTTTTTACTGTTTTGTTTTTCATGCTTGCAATTCATTTGTTGTTGCGAATCAAATTCGCTTAGGACCCGTGCGAAAAGAAAAATATTGTTGGGGGAAGCCTCAAATAAAACGGCAAGGATGTCTTCTGTCCAAAACAAAAATTGTAATTTAAAATTATATACGAAAATGAACATCTACTCACTTCCCTGCAAGAAGGCTTCCGATCATTTGAGCGAACATATGTCAGGAATGCATGTCGACATATTCCGTCAGCTCGTAGAACGATTTTTCTATCAGTTTCTTAAGGCCGAAATGACAAATGTGAAGTATACCATTGTATACGTGTACGTCATTCTCTCTTCGTTTCCTAGGTTAGCTGAGCGACAGCATTAATGCAAAAAGAAAACAATATGGACGTAAAATAACAGCAGCATCAGCTTTGACAAAATTTATCCCTACATGTATACATTTAGATTCAGTCTTTATTTTAATATATTTATATAGATAAGGTACATGGTTTATATAGCATACAAATAAATAATAATACAGCAATATTTCAAAAGTCTGCAAAATATTGTTAGCAAAACCGCATATACAAAAGTCTTTAATGGTTTCATGCGTTGGTGACGCAGCTCCTAAGCCCCACGAACGCCTCCGTCATTATCGCAGCTCCTTTGAGGTATAAAGACATCTAAGTAAAATTTAAAAAAAATTTGAATCATAATATTTTTAATGCCTAAATGCAATTGTACCTCAACGTAAAGTTTCGTCGAATAATTTTAAATCTACTTCTGCGGATAGATGAGAAGAGTCCATTCCAGTCGAACTGCTCCATTAGTTGATCTTTCCGTACGAAATGGAGTGCTCTTAAATAAACAAATGTAAAAAATCAATCGGATAATCCGTTCTCCCGGACATCATGTGAGTGTATTGGTGAACCCATCAGCCCGTTCTTGCAGGCTTGTCTTACCATACCAATTGGGTTATAAGCTCGAAACAAATTCTTCAAATTAACAGGGTAATTCTTCTCTCGCAATCTCTTTAACATGCATCTTGCACTTTTTTCATCTTCAATGAATTCTAGACTTAAAATATGCCTATTCAGTTCGGTTTTTATTTTTTCTCATATTAATAACATAAAATCAAACAGATTATTGGTAAATTCAGATAACAAATTTTTGTTTAAAATTTAAATAAATAAATGCACCTGTAAAAGTGTTATGTTGCAAGTCTTTTCGGTGAAAATATGCTCGTTCTCGGTAACAATAACGGATTTCTTTGGTTTTGCTGTTGTTATAGGATCTTCAACCCCGCTCAGAAGCAGACAGAAGAAGCAGAATAGTATAACTTATCTTGGTCATCTAATCGGAGGCTCCGGAAACGATCTTAATTGTGTCAGAATTACTCAAGTCGGAAGGGAGGGTTTTGACGAGCTCTGGGTGAATGGCGTTTAAAGCTTCCTATCCAGCGGATGCTTCTTTCCTATAGTGCTGCATTGGGTTTATTTAGTTTAGAACTCTCTTCCTGATATGACTAGGTAACATAAATTTTTTACTGTGTAACTCAACTGTGTAATCAACCTTCACGGCACCGGCTTGATCAGCACGACGGCGAAGGAGCAGGCTGACCATGATAGATGAAACAGTGAAAAGGGAGATTAATCGAAAGGAAGGTCAAAGAGAACACCATTGCAAAATCAACGAGCGTGAACGTAGCAGATCAAGCGCATGAAGTAGCAGGTGTGACTCACCAGGCAGTAGGCGTTCATCAACGGAGCGATCAACCATCAGTGTTGACGGCCCTAGACCTCCACTGAGACGTACATCGCCAACTTAAGTAGTCAATTCAAAGATGAATGCGACAACAACACCGAGCCCGCGCGTTGGGGGCCTTCGACCTCCAAGGGGCGCAAAGAATCAGAACGTTGGTCAGACGTATTTCACCGAAAACGCAGTACCTAAGAAAAGAGTAGGTACGGGGATAGGTTTGAGAGCACACATACATCGCCAAATAAATTAGTAAAAGCCGATGGAGGTCATAGAGGGCATGTTATCTCGCCTCCTAAGGATGGTAAAATAGATAAGGAGGACGGGATGACCCGAGAAGATATAAACTCAGTGGAGCTGGAATCGTAAGATGATTACGAAACCTTGAACGGGGTATGAGCCCAGAGTCAACCAGAACCCAAGCTCATCAAATGGAGGCGCAGTGGGCCACCAGGATGGATCAGTTACTCCGAGAAAACAGGCACTCAGGCCTGGCCATGGGTACAGCTTTGATGAAGCTATAAAAGCTGTCATAGTAACGGTGCTTTCTAAGGACTTCCCTAAGGAGTTTCTGTCTCCGGAGCAGCTGACCGACATCCAGGACGCCATAATGAATGAGGTAATAAAGAACTGGAAGAAGTTTCAGACCAGGGCTACTAATAGCTTATTGCGCAGACAGTAGCACGGCCGAATGTCTTACGAAGAAAGCACCGATCTTCAGTGGATGGTCGGGGTAGAGCTGACCACGAAAGTGGGTGAATATATACCCCCAACCCACAATATCACCATTTTTCTTCACGGAAATGTGGATAAGGGGTTCGAATACGCATTGGGACTATTGCTGGCGCAAAACGAAGGGCGCCACACCTCCCACTGGAAGACGTATGACGAGAATGCTGAAGGAACCCAACTGAAGCTAAATCTAAGTGTAGACGACTGGTCTTTCAACTCAATGTCGAAGAACAGCTCAATTTTAGATTCGGCAGTATACTTTACAAACCCTGGAGATGGGGAGGGCAAGAAGAAGCGCAATCAGAACCAGCAGCAGCTGAAGCAGTGCTGTACCCAAATGCCGCTCATCCCAAGATAAGAGTCAAATAGTAGCATACGAAATATTCCCTCGAGGAGTACACGGGTAAAGAGGAATGACGCCGAACATAAAGATTGCCCAGATCAATCTACACCATGCGGTTGCTGCCTTGGCGGTAAAAACGCATAAAATAGCCTCAGATGATCTGCACGTTGTTCTGGCGCAGCAGGCAGAACCTACAAAGGTCAGTTAAGGTTATTAAAAAGGCAAATCCACTAAAGGTGTATCGGATCTTACGTGTGTTAACCCTAGAACAAGTATTATACTTAAAAGAAGCACAAGCTACATTTTTCTTTCAGAGTTTATAAGTAGAGACCTGGAAGAGAAGAAGGAAGTACAGTTAACATAGTAGTTGCATCCGCATACTTCCCTGGATATAGCAACATCATACCAACTCCAGAACCGGAACTTCTAATTGACTACTGTGAGGAAAAACGAATTCAGCGACAAGAATACAACATAGGGAAGCATCGATAACAACGTTAGAGGTGAGTCCCTATTAGAATTCTTGCTAAGTAATGATATCCATTAATCCAACGAGTGGTGTGCACCCACATTCGTTAAAAGGAATAGGAAAGAGGTACTAGATATTACAATAGTAAACACCTGGTCTGAGAATATGATCTCACTAGAATATGTGTTCCGTGGTGAAACGGTCATTTAGCATCACTAAGGAAAGATGTAAGAAGAGACTTCAATAAAGCAAAAAGAAGTGAGAAATGTAAAAGAACTCTTACCAAGTATAATAAAGAACTAAAGGAAGCAAAAAGATCGAACTTTAGGAACTTCTGCGAGGGTATATCCTCTGTACCTGAATTTGCCAGATTACGTGAAGAATTAGCTAAAGATACGGTAGAAAGTAAAATGGCAAACACCAAGAATGAAGAGGAACGAGCGATGATCTTCCTCAAAAAAAAAAGAGTAGAAGAATCTATACGAAATTGGATCAACTGGATCGGAGACACAATAGACCACTGGTCACGGTGCATATCTTCTTTATAATCTATCTATTTATCTTGTGTGTAACTGATGTCCTGGTGATATCAGGAGGTTTCCTATCACGTACTGAGCGGTTTTTTTATATGCTTCCAATTTGGAGCAGTGTAGTTTACAATTCGGCTGCTTGATTTCCTTCTATGTTGCGAGAAATTCTTCTTTGATTTTTTCTCAGATGCTGTCGGCTAACAACTCGAGAATTTTTTTGTGGCTGTGTACTTTTGTGGCGATTGCTTTCATATGCGCATCGTAGTATTGTAGACTGTCGAATATGACTCGCAGAATGTGAAAAAACTTTCGTTCAAAAGAACTACTAGCTGTCAAAGGGAATAGGTCAATAATTTCTGATTCAGATACATATGTTTATTTTCGTAGAAATCTACAATCCATAGGTAGCTAATTTTGAGAGATGTATATTACCGCTTCAGTGATTGGCAGAATTTTACTTTGAATATTTCCTGTTAAAAATAATGCAATATATAAAATTTGTATGAATTTCTCACCCATAATCGTGTTTGGCTATTTTATCGGGGGATGATATGCTGACTTAATCAAATATAACATTCATACTCACCTACAAAATCCAAAAAATACACATACGTGTATTACGACCTCCTACATTATTTTCATTGATCAAGTCCCTTATTGTTGTCGACTTATATTGCGCTACAGCAAAGTTCCAAAAAGCACTTGATCTCTGCAATGGCTCCTATTTGGATGGATAATAATCATGTGAAAATGCTTTTCTGAGAAAAGTTAAAGTATCGAAGGCATTTCGCCAATGAAGAAGGTTTCCATTAAGACCCGGATAAGGTAATAACTATAAGAGAACTCATGCTCTTTTTCGTGTATGAAATACATTCGGGGGTTGCCTGCTATATAGAGTTGAGCAATAACGCCGTTGGAAAAAACATTCTTAGCGATAGGGTGTACAATACAGCTAGATGAAACAAAAAATTTAACTTTTCAACCCACTCTGAATATAAACATATAAATATAAATGGCATTGATGATTTTGAAACAAATTGAGGGACCTGCAGTTTATTCTAAGCTTTCTCATGACAGAAATACACTCGGAGGTGCTGACATTCCCTGCCAAAGTGCGATCGCAGTTAGAAACGTTAGATTTCTATGATTATTTGGATGTTGGTCGAACCAAAACTCGATCCCTGGCCAACAAAATGTTAGTACGCAATCCTAACTTCTCGACGATTGCAGTTGATATTGCAGTTCTTCTCTGTAACAACTTTTAATTTTACTATTTCCAATAGTTCTTCCTCTTACATATTCTCTCTGAGTGAGTTTTCATCCGAACTTCCTTTTCTTTCCTAATTAAGGTTTCCAAAAATTATTTTATTATTATCATATACATTTACATACATATATAGCATTTTGGTGGTATAATTTATTTTAACAATTAAGCAAAAGTGATTATGAAATTTACGCTTACAATTGAATTGCTAATGCATATAATATTGTCACAGAGCCATAGAATTCACGCTTGCTACTGCTGTGGACATCTGAGCGTGTTGTGAATGCAGCTGATGGGATGTAGGTGCCGCTACTGCAAATGGGTGATGATGACTTATGTGGTGCAAACCCATTGTTGGCATACTTATAGTCGTCATTGAGTGCAAAGTGTGTTGCAGGTGAAGACCAGGCTCTATCTTGGGCTTGGACGAGATTGAACCTGGGTGATCGCAATGAGAAACTATACCAGGTAACACCGATGGATCAGAATTTTTTTTGTTTAGCTTTCTTTCTTTTGCTCTCCGGTTTTGGAACCAAATTTTAACCTGTCTTTCCGAGAGGGAAAGAATTTGAGCCAGCTCACTTTTTCGCCGTATTGTTATGTACCGCGATGTGCAATATTCCTTTTCAAGTTCTAAGCGCTGAAAATCGTTATATACTACTCTATATTTATCCTTTGTGCGGGTTTTACCTGAAAGTATAAATATATATGAATAACAATTATTTTAAAATTTTGGAGGACAAGGATTTATTTCTAGAAGACCTTTTCGTGATGGGTTACTCAGAGGCTTTGATTGAATGTGTGCGTTAACGAAATGAAAACTTATTATTTCAATGCATATGAATTTATTAAAAACGAAAATCATTACATAAGCTCAGCAGCCGTTCCGAAGCAGCTTGAAACTGCAGAATCCTTCATTCGATTATTGCCTTCAACTTTGTTTTTCGACAAAATCTGTTCTAAATTTTTATGGTTGGGAATTGTCTACAAGCCCTTTTACAATACTTCTATGGATTGCGATTCGCCTCGGAAATCCAAAACTTGAAGACCCAATCATGATGCAGTGTGTAATACGACGAATCTACCTCTCCAAATGGAGCCTTTCCTATTTCTCTTTTCGTATATACACGTACGTACATAGGCAACACCCGCTCCCTGTTTCACACGCTTTAAGTTTATGTACTGTTAAAGGATTCCCAAAGGAAGCTTGTGAGACTCAGGATCGTCTGGGTGCAGTAGGAAAGCGACTCGCAGGTGATATCTTCCCTTTGCCAGGTCAGAACTTGTGGCCTATAATTACGTAAGCAACAATATTATCTCCTTTGAATTTTTATTTCATACTGAACAAGTTATGTGCCAAATAAGTGTACAGGCAAGAAATAAGCATTTCCCGTTTCTTAAAATAGTTTTCCAAGGCAACTCACAAGTAAAAAATGGCTAATCCGAAATTAACGAACATTTTGTCCGTCGTCTGCATGGAAGAGCAACGTATTCATATTTAAAGTTTCGAAATATTCATTCGTTTCGCAGTCGATTTTTTTGGGTGAAAGAACTTAATCCCTATAAAGGAGTGACATTTACTTATTTTGTTCAATGACCTTTGTGTAGATCTAGTAGCTAATTCACAAGTGAACAAAGCTTCGCTTGGAAGTGTGCTGCAAGTTGTTGGCTGATTTCAAAGAAACGGCCACATTTGTAGTACGTTCAGCACTTTAACATGTGGCTGCGGACTGACCAAAAAAATCTTTAAGTGTATTATTTTTAATAGCATTTGGCCGTAATGTAGCTCGTCTATAATGTCATATAGCCGAATTTAAGCGCTTAGTCCTACATCAGACATTCCTAATACATCTATATGTAGGGCGCGCAGCTTGTGGATGACGAGAAGAACGAGGTGACAAGCAATTATAGCCGTCTATATCTAGCGTTAGCGGAGGAGGCGGCTGTGTGACCCAGTCAATGGATGTAGCAAAGAAGGTTGTATTTGGGGAGTGAATATGAAGGCCCCCAGAGGAAGATGGTGCGCTGACGCATGTGGAGTAAAAATACATGTTTAGACGGCAATTTATTATCAAATACACTGCCTGTGATCCCACTTTCCGATTTTACTTTAGATAAAACCGGATACACTTCAGATGATCGTTTAAGACTTTAAATTTCACACTTTAAATTTTTAAGTGTATATAAAAAACTATTTAGTTAAAATACTTACAGTGGCTCAAAAATGAACTCGGACTGTGTGTAAGTTATATGACATTAAACAAGAAAAAATATAATAAAATGCAAATCGAGGGTTTTCTGTTTAACATATATTCCTATTCTTCAAGTGTATTTTTCAAAACATCCAAAACCATAAACTAAATTCAACTCGGTTGCATAAAAATAATATGAACATAACAACTCATCATCAGTTTTGTTAGATGACATATACATAATATAGAATTTAAAAATATTATTTAGCATTTCTTAGCAGAAATTCAACTAGCTTCTTGCTTGTTAAAGAATTTACTTTCCCCCACTCTTCCAAAATAGCGGCTTCTAGGTCTTTCTTATTTCTAATAACATGCATTTTCAGTTTATTTTCCAAATGAGCCCGCAGATGTTCAATCACGTTAATGTCGGGAGATTGAGGAGGTGTTTCAAGCACTTTAGGACAGTTATACATCAACCACAGACGGACATCAAGTGCTTTATGCTTGGGATCGTTGTCTTAGTAGTACAGGAAATTGTCTTTAATTCCTAACTTTTCCGCACTTTGCACTAAATTTTCTTTTAAAAGGGCTTGTGGTCCATATTACCATTTATTAAACACAAATTTCCAGTACCAGCTGCAGACATGCAACCCCATACCATTACTGAGCTGCCCCCGTGTTAACAGTCTAGGAACTCTTCATACGGGTTTCTCCTAAGATACGACTGTCCATCTGACCTAAATATGTTGAATTTGGTTTCATCTTCCTTATTTCAATTGAACTTTGTCCACGCTGTCTACCCATGTTTGAATTTTTCATCTTTTTCCAAAAAAACTACTGAAATTTTATTTTAAGCTATTACTTTTGATTATATACATATGTATTTTTAAACGAAAACAAACTAATTATGGGATTCGCATTTTTAAAATGCCAAGCAACTGTAATATTACCAGATGTACGACTTCTTTTTTTGGCGAAATTTCTAGCATGCCACATGTTAATTTTTTGAAGTAAGGGTATAGGAGACCTATAAACTATTGTATATAATTTGTTTGTTATTGGTATTTTTTAAATCCTTATTGGATACCCTATAGAAACATAAAAAACAAAAATGCTTAATATCAATTGGTTAAAACAAGCATATATTATATACATATATATATATATATAATTGGTGATTTGTAACTGCCGATGATTTTTATGAGTAGCTTTTTTTCATGTCAGAAATACACTTGGAGGGGTTGACATTCCCTGCCGAGGGGCGACCGTTACTTAATTCAGTTCTTGTCATGGTTATTGGAACGCGGTGAAGAAGCATACGATATGTAGAACATTAGGTAATATAATAAATTTAATGAATCAGTTTTGTGATCTTGCTCCTATATCTCGCAGTAGGTGGTTATATGTGGTATGTATATTTACGCAGAGTAGTACAATAAACCTGTTCGAAGGCTTAAACTCAAACTCCCTCTTATAACTAACCAATCGCGCTCATATTTAAGCAAGGAGCAATTTTTCCCGAAACTTGAGACATTTTTATGATGTATTAATACGAACGGCTCCGAAGTGTAGTTAAAGAGCGACAGGCAAAAGGGCCACTAGGAGACGATGGTACGCCGACGAAAGTGGAATAAAAAGATGTTTGTTTTGCCGGCAAGTGAAAAAATTGCTGATTCCCAACAAGTTCGTAGAGACATATGTACAAATGCGGCGGCAACACGAGAGAAAATAAAAATATCCATCGGTTGTCATCAGAGTCGATAGCTACTTGTAAGCCCCGTCGGCCAGAAATTTGGCCTCAGTGTTTTGGGATGAGCGTGGAGTATCTTGAGCAGGGAAATATCATCAGCAGTAAATATTATATAGCATTATTGAAGCGCTTGAAGTACGAGATTTTTTCATGTTTTTCAGGTTTTGCCTGTTTTACGTATGATGTCAGCACCCTATTTTTTATTTGGCACAATGAAGCAGTACCAGAAAAAACACGCTACAAGCAAAAAAATGGCTTTTAAGAAACTTTATTAGTAAATTGGTTAATGGTAGCAGCGCGCGTAAGCCTTTGCAAAGCTGGAAAAAGGTGTGCTTGTTCGGCTACGAGTCTGCAATAGCTTCAACGCCAAACAAAAAAAAAAAAGTGTTCTCCAAAGTCATAAACAAAAGCTATCATTATATAGCAACCATTTTTAGAAGGCCAAAATTAGGAATAGAGGCAATCAAGAGAAATTCGAGCGACTTACCAATAGCGACGGTAAAACAAAAATTAGTAAGTGTCATACAATATTTTTTCAATAACTTGAATCCGAATTGAGAAAACAATTTTTATAACATATACATATACATATATCTTTTTTTACATACTTGTTAACACATCCGTACATACATATGTATGTGCAATAGTCACTAATATTTTTTATTGTATATATAGCAATATGTGCCAATAAGCAGAGGATGAAGGTTATTTCCTCTGGCCAGACGAACGTTATTTCTGTTCAAAATGGGCTTCATTCATTTGCGTAATCTCTATCGAGGACGATGTCAACATCTGATGAGGTGGCTCTAGAAGTCTTCGAGAGAAAAGTTTTGCGAACGATTTATGGTCCTTTGGTTATTAGGTGACATTGATACAGTTCAGCGAATGAAGAAGTTCACGTCGTCCAAATGAATGAAAGCGCTCCAGCTCCGAAAGTATTCGATACAGTACTCGCTGGTGGAAGTAGAAAAACTGGAAAGACTCCATTCAGTCGGAAGGATTAGGCGGAGAGTGACCTTCGCCAAACAGCGAAGAGAAGAACGTAATGACGGAATGGTGTCAATGCCAATGAAGAAGAAGAAGCAAAATCTCCATCAAGAGCCACACAATTATATCACCACCGCACCAACATTTCAATATCATTGCTTTTTGAATTTTTGTTCTTGTTTTTCTTTAACAGTGAGCAAACATGGAATACACTTTGAATAAAGTTTTCTAAAGACGTTTGTGTTTTGGTAATCTTACGCAACTTTACTTTACTTTCCAATCATTCAAACTAATATTTGAAGTTGTTGTTGTAACGGTTCTTCAACCAGCTTAAGTGCAGGAGGGGCTAGTATAAGTTGCCGAGGTCATCTTACAAGAGGTTCAGAAAACGAGCTGTTTTTACTGCTTCTGCATTATCGGTGTTTCGACGACAACGTTAGGTGTCATCGTTTCAACGTTTTATTGTTGGTTCTGAAGGGTGTCTTTATAACAATTTACAACCCATTGTTTCGGTTGAACGGAAAAAACTCCTCTAAAAAGACTAGGATTGATGTAGAACTTGCTTTGCAGCATTTTTTCGCTTAGATTTTCATTATGGATGACTGAAATACGAAAATAAGTTGGAAATTATTTTTCCGCGTAAGCCGGCCATATTAACTCAACTTTATTATAGAGTTTATTCCGTTATGTTTAAATAAAAACCAAGCAAGAGCTTTACTTTTCCTTTAGATGCTGCTATTGTTTCATTTTGTGCATACTCG